GGTTATCTTAAATATGAATATTATGAAAGTGATTTAAAATTATTAAGAAGAGCTTTAAGAAACAATACAAAGTTTTGTTATTAAATGTGGAGTCACGTTTATATGAAGATTTTATTGAATTTAGGGGAGATATTTTATAATTAAAAATAATTTAACATAATAATATTCTATAAAAAGTACAAATCAAATTTACGTTGCTCCTTTTGATGAAACAAATGGTTTTGCAATGTATAAGAACTTATTTAAGCCGTGCTATATTTATCCAATTTATTTTATTTTCTATGGAAACATGTAGCCCAGATTGAACATCCAATAACTATAGCTTATTATACGCGCTATGAAAATATAAAATAATAATATAATCACGCTTGAGTGTAATAAACAAATTCCAATTTATAATGATTAATGTAGACTAATAATAATCACTTTGAATTTCACATAAGCCATATTATATAAAGTGCAACAGTGTCAATATCGATTGCAAGCTTATTTGCACGCGAAACAGTTTACGTTTTAATGAAATCTTCATAAATAGTGAACAAGCAAAATAAATAGAAAAAAAAATTAAGAATCAACATAGATTTAAAAAAAAATAGAAAACAAAAGAAAATTGAATGTCCAAGAGCTCATGTTGTGTATATATAGGCAAAGAGAACCAAATAATCGAATACTCGGATAATTATTAGTAAAAAGGCGTGCGACGATCGTGTACTTTGATCAACGGAAAGTCGTATATTTTTTCAAAGTAAATCAGAGTAGTTGGCAGTAACATGCTGAATTATAACTTTAGCCAAATGAGTAGAAATCGTGAACAATGACAGGGGGGCATGTGGTATACGATGTTACCCAGTTTGCACCCCACATAATCGCCCCGGCCTCCGACTTTTCAATATCGCATAATAATAGCATTTTTCCTTTCCACTTGCCCGACGCCTGATATTTCGTGTATAAGATATAACGAGCTGTAAAGAATGAAAACTGAATTATCGTACCGAGCAGAAGAAAAAAAATCACAAAAGAAATGAAAAACGACAAAAAAAAAATAAATAAAACAAAACAAAATATAATAAAAGTCAGCAACACATTCAATGTAGCGTGTCCTTTTCTGATCCCGTGATTCTTGCATAACTCGCAGATTTTTCTTATACCGACCCTACCGAGTGCACGACTATTCGTTCATATACAATGTATTTTTGTGAGCAGTATTGAATAAAAGAAATAATAAAAATGCTAATGTTGTACAGTTATTACTATGAATGTACTATGATGTACCCATATTGTATACAGATATATTTAATTAAAGTGATTATGACTTTGTGTACTCCATCTCTATTATTTGGATATCCCATCCATTTATTTCGAGTTTATCTTATCATTCGTTTTGTATTAAAAATTCTTCTTTTTTTTCATTTTCCTATTCTTAGATCATATTAGTTTTTAGTATTTTAATAAATTTAACCATTTGTTCATAATCTTTTTAATCCAATCACACATGGTTTATTTTTCATTATTATTTTCATTCATTCATTATTTTCAATTGAAGACAAAATAATTTTCGCATTAAAGTTGCATTCCAGTTCTAAGTACAGGTAAGATTTTAATGCAGTAATTAAAATGATTAATTTTATAACAAACTTTAACTTCAAAGTTTCATCAGAAATCAATAGTAATATTAATAGACACAATTATATTTAACTTCTTTATTTATAAGCTTTATAAAAGTAATAAGGTTAAAAAAATTAAATTAAAAGATCCATCATCGACAAAAAGGCTCGAAATGAAATGATTAGTTATACAAAGTTATAATAAATTAAGAAAATCATTAATTGATTAGCTCAAATTTTAAAACTGGATTAGAATAATAAATTTAAAAAAAAAAAAGAAATTCTTAAAACTCGATAAAAATATTTCAAAATCATTCGTTTGTAAAATAATCGAATGGATTATTTAACAATTTAATTATGTATTTAGTTATAAATATATAATAACACAAAAACATTATCAAATTTTTAAAAATAATTTTTAACCAGTGGTAATCATTAAAAAATTCATTTCATAAAATTTTCATAGAATATATTGAAATTGAACGAAAGAAAACTCAACCAACTCACTATAAAGACAATATAATAACAATAGAAACCGACAATGCTGCGTAAAGACGTTTTATTAATAATTTGAGCCGTGATTTATAAATCATCATACCTATGATCTTGGTATACAAAACATATGAGGGGAAAGGGAGTCTCTAGTTTAATATTCGAGCGATTTTTTTTAGTAAATTAATCGAAAGCACTCAAAATCGGTAGATTTACATTTCGAATATTAGATGACTATGATCATTAGAGAAATATAAGAAAATTGAATCATTTTCAATCAATGATGCAGTGAATTTTTGTTATAAATTATTTAAGAAGTCGATCAATTAAAAACATTACATCTAATAATTTTCGAATAAAATAGAAAATGTCATGCATAGAATAATAGTTTTCAAATCTTCTTTAAAGCAAATATTCAAAACATATATTTTTACGTATGATATTTCAAATAAAACTAAATTATTATATTTTCGAATTTAATGAAGAAATATAAATCTTAAATTATTTAATCACTAATCTTTTTTATCAAAGGGAATATATTAATATAATCACGTACGTCCATTAATACATCTAGTCTCATAATTATTTTGCATTTAATTCAATAATATATTTCAATATAGTAAGATTTAAGTAAAATTAAATTGATAAGCCACTTAAAATAAAATCTGACCAAAAACAATACTTTATATTTTTTCACAAAAATAGAAAGCGATGCCAACCTTTTTAGGTCACCAGGTATCACATTTAACTTGCACAAAGCTGTTCTATTAATATGTATAAAGACATTAGAACACGAAATTGAAGAATTTATATTCTAAAATTTGAATAATTATAAATTTACCTTAAAAATTTTATTTATATTTTATCTTATTGTTGAAATTTTTTTTTTCATTAATTAACAAACATTTATTAATAGTTGAACTATTAGAATCCTATACTATTATCTAAAATATATGTTGAGTATTGATTTGAAAAAATAAATATAAATATAAATAAATAAAAATAAATAATGTATCGAAATTATTGTTTTAAAATTTGTTCTCAAATTATGAATAATTAAATTACTTATTTTGGAAGTTATGCAAATCCATGAGATATAACACTCAGTATTCTACATTATTGAATTAATACATTGTTAGAAAAAACTATTGGTTAATTTCAATTTCAATTTTAATAGATTAGAAAAATTTGTATGAATTTATGCTTAATAAATTATTTTTATTTAATAAAAAAGGATTATAAAGACATCATATATTCGAGATTTAAATTTTTATAACTAACTGTCGTTAAAAGTTTAGTATATTGTTATAAATATATACATGAATTTATAATTTGCATTTTTATTAGGGATTGATTTGTATTTTTTCCAAGCAAAATTAATTAAAATATCCATTATCATTTGATTTTATCGGTCTTATTAAAACGTTTAAATAATGTTTATATACGTAAAACGTTTTTCATGCATTGTTTTATGAATAATATTTATAAAAATATATTATTTATATCAAACATCTTCATTTTCTTTATAAAATATGCTAGTATATTACAGTAAATTATAAAATTAAATAATAAAATCTATCTGTTAATTAATCGTATTAATATTTTAAGCCTGTAATGAAGATTCATCAATACCTTTATTAAGTCCCCATCATTTCTCATCAATTCACGCATAAATATTTTAACACTAATCAGTGCATGAAATTTTGAAATAATAAGAAATGAAATGTTCAAATGTAAAGAGTACAAGAATTTCATTATGAATATTCAACGCTTCTGTATCGCTTAATCGAATAGATTATTATAGGAAATGGAGATTATATTATATATCGATTAACATCAATACCGTATTTAACATATCGCATATAAAGTATTTACTTTTACAAATTCATAAAAATGAATGAAAATTCGATGTATTATTATTAAAACAAATTATTTGATTTTTATATCAAACAAAATTTTGTTTGAGTTTTGTTGCATTAGAAATAACTGTACATGATAATATGTCAATCACTTTTCCTTAAGCATGTTTTATGAATAAATTTTCGTTTATACGTCTATTCGTTATAATTTTATATTTACTGCAATTAATTTATAATCCTACATATTCATATTTGTAATTATTAATCTAATATCCATCTCCGATTGCGTAATTTTAATTATTATATGCTCAAATGCGTGGGGCTTTTGCGACAACAGCAAGTCAACTCAATCTAAATATCTAACAGCAAAATCAAAGTCGGATCGGCAGTAAATAATGGAGGTCGACCATAAAGCGATTCTGGAAAATTTGAGATGTGAAAATGGCTGAAGAAATAATGATCGATATTAGAGTGAGAAGGCAACAAGGCTACAGAGTAAGTTATACTTAAAAAAAAAAAATCAAAACTTAGAATTCTTTAATGTAAACATTAAACGAACATTGATAGAATCTGCTAATGAAAAAACTCATTTACTTAATAACCCAAGTTGTACATAGCATGTTTTAATATTTGCAAATGTCAAGTAAGTTTAAAATGTCAAAAAAATTTTAAAATCTTTAAAATGCTAGACTTCAAAATTTTAACGTTAAATTAAAAAAAAATGTTGCGATTCGTCTTTTCGATTCGATATTTTGTTTCGTCAGAAATATCAAAATATCAAGTATACAGTTTTATAAGGATTATGGTTCTTACAGTATCGAGTTTTTTTTTAATAATCAGTGGGCATATTCCATTTTGTTTGTAAAAGAATTTATTTATATCGTCAAACCTGATTTTTCAGATTTGAGCACACGAACAATTATACCGCCGAAGTCAATGAAAATTTTATGGCAAGATGGCGTCAAATCACTTCACGATTCTCCAAAACTGTTTAATCTTTGCGTTTGCTGTACTTCTCGCCAACGTTAAATTCAAACATCGTGCAAAATTCCTCATTGGAACTTGAAATAGAGATTTATCTTTCTTAATACATGATACTCATTTATCATCCGGCTTTAAGTGTAGTCGATTTGATATATTCGAGGTACGTATGCATATATGCATATATATATATATATATATATATGTGATGTAAATAAGATAAATTGTGTTGATTTGTGTTTATTTTTTTTAGTGATAACTCTTATAGAAGAAAGATAGCTGTGCAATTTAATACATTTCAGTCATTCTAGTAAGGAATTGAATTTTCTGTTTATTGAAAATGACTTTGCAATCTATAAAATGGGAAAATGGCAAACTAGAAATACTCGATCAGCTTTTGTTGCCAGCTCAATCAAAATACATTGAAATTACAGGAGTTAAAGATGGTTGGACTGCAATTCATAGAATGCAGGTATTACCCAGAACTTTTTTCCAATCGGCTAGCAATTTATAACAATTTTATTTAAATTATAAATATAAAAGTAAATAGTGTAACTATAATTTTGATGTTTTTGTGCTTTGGATTTAGATTTTAACTAATTACATCAATTGTTTTAATTTTTTCTCTCGTTTGGCAATCAAAACCAATTAGTACATTCATTTTATTAATTTAATAATCTAATTAATATGTAAGTGATACTACATTCCATGACAATATTTAATAAATAATAATGTAATATCATTTATATTATTAATGTTATGGCTATTATTATTATTTTAATATTTTAATATAAGGTTATTTTTTATTATAAATTAATTTTACTTCCACTTGATCTACATTATTCAATAATTTTCAAAGTTCTTTAAAATTTGAATTTAAATATTTTTACATAAAACTTTAGAACAATATAGTTATTTTAATAGTTCATGAAATATTTTACTGGAAATATATAACTACTTTCAGATACAATTTTCAAAACACTAACCTAAGGTTTAAAAGTTGTGCTAATAAATTTTGATATTTTATTAATGAATTTTATCATTATCAGGTTCGAGGTGCTCCAGCTATTGCAATTGTCGGATGTCTTAGCCTAGCTGTTGAAATTTTCCCCAAATCATACGACAAGAAAGAAGTTCTTATTCAAGAAATTGGAGAAAAATTGGATTATCTTGTTTCTGCAAGACCAACAGCTGTAAATATTAATCTTGCAGCAAACGAACTTAAACAATTAATGCTGACATTAAGTAACGAAAATGCTACACCCGCTCTTATTAAAGAAAAGTAAAACATTTTATTTAACTTGATTATGTAAATATATGTAATTTAAAATATTATTTTATCACTTGACCTAAATTATTTAAATATTTTCAGAATAGATCAAATGTATTTTTGTTATAAGCGCAATCAATATCTTTTATCATAATTTGAAAAGTTTTTAATATCCAATAATAATGCTCTTGATCTTAGAATTATTTCAAGAATAACATCAATGTTAAAAGAAGATATTGCAGATAACAAAGCAATAGGTGAACATGGTGCCAAAGAGATAATAAAAAATCAAAATAATAAATCTGTTACGATACTCACTCACTGCAATACTGGAAGCTTAGCTACTGCTGGATATGGTACAGCTTTAGGAATTATTCGCTCTCTTTATAACAATGGAAACTTAGGTAAATGTTTATACATATAAAAATATGTACATTATTTATGCATAATGTAAAGAAGTTCAAATGGTAAATTTACTTAGACAAATTAATGTTAATTTATAATTAATTGATATTTTCATACTTCACTATAATCCTAATGCAACAGTTTTTGACAAACTTTTCTAATACTTCATTTAAATCTTAACCATTTCTGTCTTTTGTAAAGCAATAAAATAGTTGAGACAAAATAGCATATTAAATATTACATTAAGTTTGGTTTTTTCTTTTATTATATTAAATTATGTAGAATCAATAGTTTTCAGATTTGTTTGCAAATTACTTTGTCATTTTATACAAAATTGAATTAATTTTAATCTGATTTTCAGAACACGTATACTGTACAGAAACAAGGCCATATAACCAAGGAGCTAGGTTAACTGCCTACGAGTTGGTACACGATAGAATTCCAAGTACCCTCATATGTGATGATATGGTTGGATCACTTATGAAAACTAAAAACATATCAGCTGTTGTTATTGGAGCAGATAGAATAGTTGCTAATGGAGATACTGCTAATAAAATTGGAACATATCAAGTATAAACTTGTATTTATAATATATTTTAATAATTTTAAATATCTTCCATACATTGATTAGTTTGTAATATAATCTAATTCTGTAATTAAATTCATATATCATACTAAAATATTTAAAAATACTTATTAAAAGTTTCTGCTATCGAAAATTATTTATATTTGCGATATAATCCTCTATTAGTATTATTTTACAAATAGTTATTCAAAACTGTAGATAGATTTTACAAAAACGTGTAAATATAATAAAAACTTCATTATATTAATAATTTTATTATTCTAATTGATTACCATTAAGTTCCATAAATGCTATTATACTATCTGATTTCAAATTAACTCAAAAGTTAGTGAAATTATAAAAATTTAAATGAAAAATTTCATTGTTTAACATTAATATAATATCATTTATTTAAAAGACTTCTTTTATTATAAAAGAAAACATTTTAGTTTGAGAATAATTCATTTATAATCTATAATTACATTTATATTTAATTCATAATTTGGTCATATTTACAGATTGCAATTTTGGCGAAATATCATAGTGTTCCATTTTATATTGCTGCTCCATTTACTACAATTGATTTTTCATTATGTCATGGTGATGAAATTAAAATAGAAGAAAGACCTCAAAATGAGCTTACGGAAATTAATGGTGTTAGAATTGCTGCTGAAAACATACAATGTTGGAACCCATCATTCGATGTCACACCAGCTGATTTGATTTCAGGGATCATTACAGAAAAAGGAGTATTTAAACCGAGCGAACTCGTTACTTTGAAGAAATAATATATTTATACAGAATATATAAAATTATTAAATATAATTTGTATTTTTTCTTAAATAATAAGAATTGTATTATCAATTTACATTAATATAAAATTGATGATTTTATCATCAATTGTTTTCTATTAATAAGTAATTCTGTAATATTTTTACAAATATTTTTATAAATATTCCAAATTGTTTAATGATATTATATAGAATGCAATATATATGTTATAATTTATTAAACCAAAATTTAAAAATTTTTTTTAATTTTATCGATATTTTATTGTAGCATTGCTTACATTTGTCAATTAAAATCAATTTAAATCAGAATTTTCATCCATATCATTTATTTACAATTTTATTGTATTTCCACTGTCTCGAATAAAATTTATTTCAAGCTTGTCATATTTTATCATATTATTGTCAATTTAAATTTACTATATTGAAATTGTTTTAATTTTGTTCTCTCTAGTCTTTTATTGCACATATCGTTATTATGTATATCAATTGTTGTTAATTCATTTATTCAATGACCAGGTTTTGGTATATTTTTCCTGAAGGTTTCTGAGGTCGGAAATGTATTTTAAAATATTATATTTTAGATTTTGATGTACTGGGAAAATTTATTAGGAAGCATATAATTTATTCGGAATATATAATTTATATATAATATAATAATATAATTTATTAGGAAGCATATAATAACAATATTTACATATTGTTAGAAATTCTTTTATTTTCATTAGGTATTGTATACAAAATGAATTTAACAAGATTTTTGCATTAAATTAAATGACCTAATATCACAAATTTTTTTAATAATAATCATATTACATTAACAAATACAGTAACTTCATAGTAATCATTTATTAACATAATTTTTATTCTATCGCTTTTATAAATACTTATTTTAATGACATTCTTAAATTGAAAATTACATAATGAATAAGACGGAGTATAACGTAAGATATTGAAACTATTAAATCTTTATGAGATATTATCGAGAGTTATATCTTTTCTACTACATATTGTTACTTTATATTTTACTATAAATTATATCTTTAGGTTTAAATTTTGTAATATAAATTCATGCTTGAAATTCATTGCGCGTAATGAACGTAAATTAAAATCTCAATATAAAAAAAAATTTTCTGTTTCTAATATCATAGTTACGCTCACTGTTGTTTGGCACATTAATTAATTATTGAAATTTCCTTAATTGAGGCCAAAAATAATCATAATTTATGTTAATTGCTTAATATTAAGTTTAATTAAAATAAAATTTTATTGAATAAATCTTTATATACATCTTAATAATATCGATTTATTTCGTAGGTAATTAATTCTATAATACATAAATTTATGAACAACGAAGATTAAACTGTGAAATTATAAAATACTCTAGCAAAAAATATAGAATTATTCCCACAAATCAATGCTTTAAATTAAAAAAAAAAAATTTTAATTTCAAATTGTTATTAATACTAAAATATAATTTTTTATTATATTTGAAATTTATATTTTAAATGTATTCGTTTCATTATAATGTTTCGTTCTTCTTCAAATGTCAGTTCATGTAGATCAAATAATTATGTTCAATATTACAATTTACAATTGAATAAATGATGTCATTTGTCGTATCGATACTGTTTGAAATATTTCATAATCTTTAATCTCTACCCTGGCATTGATATTTTTATCTTATAAATAAATAGTATAGGCCCTTAAAACATTATTACTTGAAATATTAATATTCATAAAGAAATATTCTAAATAAGTATTTAATGTATTAAGCTGTCTAATAAAATAAATCGGTAATTGGCGTTAATTATAAAATATAAGATTATACGTATAAATGATTTAAAAAATGTATTTCACAAATTTTTAATCTCCACATAATTAAACGATCTCATCCAATATTATTACTATGAGATACATATTAAAAATAATATTTTTTCAATCGTGTGATTCAATAAATATTAATCAAATTTCTTCTCCTGAAATTTCATTGAACGAAAACAGTACTATGTACTATCATTTAGGACGTTATCATTTTGTATAATATTTTAGATAGTATAATTATGTTATAAAGTTTGTGACAACACATTGACGACGTTAATGTGAAACTGTTGTGCTTTAAAATTTCAAAACATTCAACGGAATAAAATATTTAATATAATATAAAATTTTCTATCTTTTCTTGTCATTTTTTTTTCTTTTTTTTCTTAACTTCTTATACATTGCGGAGAAAAATATTATTTCAAATTTATCTATAAATTTTTTACGACAATTATTAAATAAAATTTTATTTTACATAATTCATTATAACATTTGTTGGCTTTTAAGGAAAGTAAAGTATTTTCCGAATTATTATGCTCTTTGTATTCATTATTATTTATAATATTAAGATAATTTTTTATTTCCATATGCTTTTAAGAATTAGACATCTACAATGTATCTGCTTTGATTTTATCGCCTTCAATGGAGTAATCCTATTTTGTAAGTACTTCGTACTAATTAATGAAAATAATAGTATCGTTAATCATTACTTCAATACAAAATTCTATAACACTTTTATGTATACTTAGGGCATAATTGTGATAATACGCTGGTGCTGTCTATGGAAGACGCATTTGTATATTACTTATTCAAAAGTTTATTAAATATTAGAAACAAAGAAACAAAATTGCAGGTAAGTTTAGCTATTAAATGGATGGCGTTTCTATTTAAAGGACGGCAAAATATAATCAATACACCATTAAGAGCCCCATAATATATTTATTAGGTGTTCGATTTTCTATTGATTTCAAGACTTCGGACGCAACAGTCGATCTCGCTTTGAAAATTCTCGTGTGCATGTGTCGGGGCGTGAAGCACGTTCACGTGCTTGATTCACTTCATCTCCTCGAATTTCGTGCTCGGAATATGTCTCATCCTGCAGTATCCGCCAAGGCGCATGGAATTTTGCGCACGTAACGACGACCAATCGATCAGATCCAGAAATAACGAGTCCATATTAGACATAGTAACGGTCCCAGTCCATCATCCTCTACCTGGGCGTTGACTCGCTACATCGTGAGCGCGTGGTGCCATGGCCCTCGTGGAGATTGGTGCTCGAGGGTATCCTGGCCGTCGAGCGACTAGCCTTGAGATTCGCCTGGCTGCCGTAAAATGATGTGAATGCCGTGTCGGAACTAACGCTCAATGGCAGTGACGTCGCATCCATCGTCTCACGCTCGCTGCCGAGGGTCGAGGCGCGCATGTCAAGGGTTCCGCTCATCCCGGACATGCCCGAGCTCGTTGCCATCTCAACCTCGCCGATGTCCGGGTGCGCCATGTGTCTTAAAATAATGTCACTTTATAACGTCGTTAATAACGTGAATATGAGAATGTGCCTATTATTATTAAATGTTACGTGCATCGCTGCAAGTATAAAGCATGAAAAATCGTAGGTGAAAGATGCAAGATCGCAGTATGTAAGGATATTTATTCGAATATTGACAACTAACGATTTGGCTATTACAGTAAGATAAAAATTCTTTTTTTTCAAAAATAATTAAGTAGAGCAATTTATATATGACGTTTAAGATCTTTCCCCTGCAATTTCACTTACTAAAATTTATTACAAATGCATTTTTACGCGCTCAAATTACTATAAAGTATCTTTTGTTCTTTTTTTGTTTTAAATAAACTTAATATTATTTTCTTTATTCAAGACAAGTGTTACGGAAATTATCGAAATTTCATATAGGAAGAGCAAGATTTTAATAAAATAATTATTAATTAATTTACTATCATTTGATTAATAACATTTGATAATAAAATTGTTTTTATTTGATAAATATATTGTTAAAAGAAATTTTAAGTAACATAAATAAGATGTAATAACCACTAATTTTAATTTAATTATTTATGACTTATAGTAAAGTACAATTTTAATATCGTACTCGTATCTTTTGATTTTTAAATAAGTATAATAAATAAATTATAAATATAATATATAAAAAAAGTACCTGTAATCGGGAGCTGTAGGCTCTGTATGTCGTCTTTGAGAACCTGACATCGGCGTCCTTTTAATAGCGTAAATGTAAATACCAGTCATGGTCAGAAGATATGATACGAAATACAGCGTGTGGAACTGCAATTCATTAATAATTTAATTTAGCCAACTTTTTCATTATTAGCTCTTTCGATAAAACTGAGATGAAACTAAATTGTGAGTGAAGATAACATCGAGTCAACAGATATTGATTCTTAAATAATAAATACCTTATATTGATGTATCAACATGCCGAAAAGTATGTTGAAGAAATCTGCTGTCAATAAAGCCAATTGGAGTGAGGTTGCGCCAGTTTCATATAAAACGACTGGTATAAGTGAGTAGAAGACAAATTGTGTTATGCAGTAAATTAATAAACATGTCATAATGATGACATTGTTGAATTGAAAGCTTTCAATTTGTACCCTTTCTAATACAGCTCTGAAAACAAGTTTTTTTTAATTTTTTTAAACCTGCATTATTCAAATTTAATTTAAATAAGAGGCATAACTAATAATTAATTTAAATATTTTGCATCAATTATTTCTCTTCTTTAATTGTATATTATGAAATTATAAATAAAGTATACAGTGCGATGAACTTACATTTGAGAACCGCACAATATAGTTCCAAAAAATCCCATCATACCAAGATATTCTATAATATCAATCGATTTTACAGCTAATTCTTGTAAAACAGTAATAATGGAAAACAAAACAGCACCACCGAGACAAAGCATATCACCTACCAACTGATTTTTACCTAAATAAGCATAAAATATTCATTAAATCAATAATAATTAATCGAAAAAGTCATGTTAAATATTAATATAACATTTAAGCTTTATTATGTTAATAAAATTTTCATGAAAAAAAAAATAGAAAAATACATTCGTCAAGTAACAAAAAATGTAATTATTAAAAACATTCAACTTGGGTGCACTAAAAATTTTATTAAAATGATCATTATTAAATTTTCAGTAACAACAAAGTTCAATTTATACAAATTAATTCGTTTACTATTCGTTTTTCTAGATTAAAGAATAATCATCCATTATCATTGATTTCGAGCTAATTCAGTTATTTGAAGTATTCAAAGAACATTGATGAACAACGTAGACAATTTTTACAATAATTGCTGCCCATCAAAACAAATAAAGCATTGTTAATGCATACACAAAATAATTTAATGTACCAGTTGATGCCGGATCCTTATTATCTTCGATACCCGCCCAAACTAGACAGCCAACTCCCATCAAACAAATAGAAACTCCGACGATGTGAACCATTCGGTATCTCACACCTAACACCAAACATGACAGCGCCAAAGCTACAGGAATCGCCACGCAATCTAATAACTGAAATGCAAATTACATATGAATTATCATGCATGTAAGAGCAATACAAACTCTTTATGAGCTAATACAATTTGGATAACATATATTCTTTATAAATATATAAATAAATAAATAAATATATATATATATATAAATATATATATATATATATATATATATATATATATATATGCAGTAAAATAAAAATCGATAAATAATGAAAATATTTTTTTAATTTTTATCACACGAATTTTAAGTATTAAGGCATAAGAAAGAAATTTTAATTGATACCATATTAATATTAAATTAATCTTAATTTTAAATATTACATGTCAATTAAATAATTTATCTAAATTTAATAGACTATAAATTAATAGAATAATAATAAATACATTTTTTTGTATATTCATGAAAATTGAATAGAAACAAAAATTTTTACATTTATATTATTGAGCAACAATTATTTGAATATCTTGTTAGGAAAATTTACATAAACTTTCTTTAATACATTAGTTAATTATACTTTTGTATACGCGAATTCAATTATTTTATTATCTTATTGTACAAGACCATTCCAATTTAACACTCTCATTAATTGACAAGTTGTTTGAATTATTATAATTATTAGAAATAGTTTTACATATAAAACTATATTTTTTATTAATTACAATATAACATATACAATTTAACTATAATTATAAAAATTTAATTAAAAATGTTGCTTCTTTATGTTATAACGCTTATGAAATAGTAAAATATGTTTGAGTTATGCAAATTAATTGATTTTTTTTTAATCCCAAGTGAATAATGTATTTCAAATGTATTTTTTCTTCTATGGAAATGATTTCCTCGAGTTCGTATTATAAGGATAAGAATAAGTTAATTATATAAAGAAATAATAAAATCGACAACGCTCAAAGCTAAAATACATCGAGATATGTAAATTTTTTTTCGGATGTCAATTTTAAAATTAAAAAAAATATAGGGCAAATAATTTAGAAAATATACTGTCATGTATAAACTAAGTTTTAAGAAAAGTCACATCAATTTCATTCAAAGCTCTCTGCCAATTATAACTATGGTAACAAATTTTATTCAAGAAGCCGTATTTAAAGAGTTCATAATAATTTCATAATATATAACTTCTTATTGGTCATTAATTATGACAAGAAAACTGTATACAAAACATTTAGAAGAACAAATTACAATTTTAACATACATCAGTGAAAAAACCTATTCGATAGATTTTAGACAATAACTACGGTATATAAATAATTGAGAGATCATTTAAATATTTAATACATAAGGTAGTAGATCTTTAATGTATTATTAATTATGCAAGTGTAATAAATTCAATAATAACGTAAAAATAATAATCATTACATAAATATTATATATTATTTTATTCACTAATTAATGTATATTTTTTATATAATTTAGAGAAATTAAAACAAAATATTTTGTACATGCATGTGTGAAATGTAAAGAGAGCAAAAGAATAAAAGAAATAAGGAAAAAATAGGGTACATTCAGGTAGTGTTCAAGTAATATGTAAGTACGGAGATTTAGTACCTCTGACCTAAATTAAAGCCGCACTTTGCTAAAAGTATCAGAATCAGAATTTTACTTGCATTAGTCTTACGGTAACATTTCACGTTTTAGTGAATTTTCCTGTTTTTTTTTTCTCTTTCATTTCAACTCCTATTTTTCCATCTATTACTGTATTTTTCTTTGACTTTTTTTTACTTTTTAGCTATATATTTTTCATATGAATTAAGTTCGTATATATATATGTATATATATTGCAAACGTATTATAATAATGTATAATAATTATTTAATTATTAGTATGTACAATTATTTAATAAAATACAATCGATTAAATTTAAACAGTCTTTTATAAAATAAATAATGTATCAATATTATAAGATTATAAAAATTAAAAAATTTCTCATTTATGTGGAATTGTATATATAAGGTAATTATGTTATGAATGTGCAAATTAGTGTAAAAATATAAAATCTATGAACTGAAAAATCAATAAATCAATAAGACTTTCTGGAGTTCAGAATATATAAAAATGTTATAAGATATGCAAGTATATTTTATGTACATTACTTTCTAATATATTCTTATTCTTATTCTCAGTGATACGGATTTTTAATGGCATTAGAGTGAAATTTAAGTACACAAAAGCAATGCATACGTTAATTTAAAATTTTTTTCCTTAATGTAGTACGTTTTTTACTTTTAGTATCCAAATAAAAGAATGATATTTTATATATTTACCCAAATATTTTTTAAGATGTCAAACAAAGAGAATTAATTTATAATGAATTGTATTTTTGAAAATTTCACATTTCAGTAAATAGAAGGTATTGCAATGCTGTATTTCTCTGTTAAAGAAATAATATTTATTCATCATTGTAAAGGCCAAAATATATTCATATAAAAATTTATTTCTACGTAACTATTATATAACATAAGCAATTATACGGTTATTGTAGAAAGCTTTCTATAGTTTGAAAATTTTAAGCAACATTACATTGAAATAAAAGAAATAAATATCAATATATTTGTCTAGAATTAGACTAAACCCCCAGATGTTCGGTGGGAGGATTGCCCGCAAGTGGAAGGATTAGCGCATTTATTCAATAATTAAATACATTTGCTTATAGTGCTGGTTATTGCCTTTTATTTTACAGACTGCACAATAATGATGATTCTAAGATGCTGTTGAAAATCAGTGAGATTTTGCATTTCAATGGTAGATGCCACGTGGTGTTAGCATGCACTACGTGGCGAGGTAGGACGTCGTAAATCTCCAGATCCTCTTGATATAGTGTGCTTGGTGGTAAATAGTTACATTGGTAGTAAGAGGTCGTAAATCTCTAGGACTTCTTCGTGTAATGCTATGCGATGGTAACGTATTGAGAGATGCCCCTTTTGGCTTGGTGCTTTTCGCACACTTTAAAGCCGTTAGCGGGAGTTTCGCGATTCATGTTTTACTCACAGAAATTCAGTTGTTTTACCGAATCCTGTTATGAGTGCGTAAATATTTCGCTTCTTATAGTCGTATTCGTCTTATAATGCAATCAGCACTCTTGACTGCTTGAATCATAGAGCACTTGACAGTTATAAAATATAATGGTTTCACTGTATTGGCTTGCTAGTTTATCGTTGCAGAGTCTGCCTAAATTATGTACGTATAATGAGTAAAATGAGTGGCTGGTGTGTGGCTGGAAATGCTGACCGAATGGCGTAATGACTGATAACTGTTTGATTAACTGATTCACAATGAGCCTATAAGCCTGTTGAATACAACACTGAAGGCTTGATCGTTCCGTGGCGGCTCTGCTGAAAGATACCGACTGTTCCATGGCGGTCCTGCTAAGACAGACCATGATACCATTGCGTCTTCACTGAGAGGGTTTCACTGCAGGAGCAGTTCACTGCAATATCAGTTTACTGAAAGATAGTGAGGCTCGTCGCGTCTTAGCTGGCAACAATGCATAGGTGTTTCTATGCCGAAAGTCTTGTATGACGTCAGAGACTAAAGCTCTAGAAAATTCTAGGATTCCAGAAATATAAATTTTAGAAGGTTCGAGAATTTACAATCGAAGTGACTATGCTGAAATATTGTAGGACACTCGAAAGCAAAGAGTAGAATATTCGAGAATCGATGCTTACAAACACAAGAGTTAGAAGGCTTATACTTCTCCCATTTTTTAAGTTCTTGGAAAATGCTCCAATCCCGAACAATATTACTTATTTATCGATTTACTAAAATATTTTATCTATAAAAAACCTGCGATTACAAATTATACACGTATATATTTATTTTAGAGAAAATTTATTAACTTAATTAAAAAGTTCATAACAAATAAATTTATTATTAAATATAAAACATCGCAGGTCTAAATTTACCAATAAAAGCGAATTATTCGGATTGTTCAATTATTGAATATGTGTAACATATTGGATATCTCCTGGTATGAATATGAAATTGTCAATCAACATGTCTATATATATATATATATATATATATATATATATATATATATATATATATATATATGATTATAGTAATTATGAGTGTTGTATTATTGTTGTCGGCTTTATTTTTTTCTTCGTGTATTAAAAAAAGTAAATTCGGCTCAAGCGCGGTGGCGTTTGATAATCGTACTTTGTTATGAGTTTATTGTCTCGGATTCGTAAGGATTCTAAACAAGTGGCAAGTGGAAAATTGACAAAACAGCGCGTATATAATATGTCCGTGACAATGCACGATAAAACTAAAGGTTTTATAATTAAAAGCACAATTAAAATTTGTCATAATCAAAATGAGCATAAAACGTTTAATGACAAATTTAGTTGTAAAATATAAAGTTTAGTATTAATACGAGTCGATCGTAAATTTCAAGAATAGTATCGATTAATTGCGTAATGATATTGTGCTTGATTGTTCGTTATATTAACGAAACACTTACCTGAATGCTGGTGAGACTAGTGAATTGGTGGGAAGACGTTATTAAAGTGTTAGCTTCTACGTCGATCAGCGCTAAGAGCAGGTACCTCCATCCGCGTGCCCTGATAACGGAAATGAGACCTTTCCCGGCACCACGACAAGACATCCATGTGGTGTATACCAGCAGCATCATTAGGTAGTGGGGCAAATTTTGTCCTGCAATGTGGAATAGTGTTTGAACACTGTGCACGTGCATTCTTTTAATCGCTATCAAATGCTTTTACAGAATGACTGACGAATATTAAGTAAACAAAAAGAATTTACTAATAGTACTAATAGGTATTACTAATTATGTATTTTTATATGGCAGTAAGATAAGTTTTGTTTTTTAGATTATAAATAGAAAATGTAACGAATGATATATTATTGGATATAAGAGAACACTTTAGGAAATTGACATTTGAAATGTACACTCCTCTACCGCGCTCATACTCGAATCTCAATTATGATAATGAATTTAGTACAAATTAGAAGTCTTAAAAAGTATCGATTTTATTATTAATACTATTATTAACACCACCACTACCACTACCACCACTACCACCACCACCACCAATACATACTACCACTATCACCATCCCTTTCCTCCATTAAACTTATATAATTGAATTTTTGTGAATATTTGATTAAAAGAATAAGTGCCTTACCAGTCGGTAAGTTTATGTGATATGAAGTGTTGACATGATGATTAAGTAACGTCATGAAGCAAAGCACCAAAGATAAGAATTGACCCATTATTATTGCTCTCCACACTGTCCTATAAGCAATATTAATGATTCATTAATGGCGTAAAATGTTCTTTCGTGTCCTTTTGAATGCACATTTTTTATTCAGCAATTAATATAAAAAATTATTTCAATATTTCACATTGAAAGATATTTGAACGGGAAAAGAGTTTAAAAAGATATGATTGAATTAAATTCTAATACGAGTTATTATTGATTAAATTATTTTTGTCAGAAGCTATTGAGGAAAATATTATCGATGTAATTTAGTAACTTCCACGAAATCTTGAATATTCAAGTTTATTAAATTTTTTTATTACAAATATTTTTTTATTTGATAAACATAATATCATAAATAATAGCTTTAAACATTTTAAATTTAATGCCATTATGATAATGTTGGTAATCGTATTAATTGAATTGGTATTAATTGAAACTCGATAGTTCATACAGAAATATATAAGCCTTTAATAAGAACAAAAATATAAATCCTTAAACTTTATGTTATCTGTATTCGATTACACTTTCTTCTCATTTTTATACGCTGATTAAAGGGTTACCCTTTCTTGAATCTTTTTAAGTATTTACCTTTAAAACTTTTCTTAAAAGAATATAAATAAGAAAATTAATTAATTTTTCATAAATAACATATATATTATGGCATTTACATTATTTACGGCTTTACTGATGAATTACATAATGTTTAAATTATTTAAATATCATTTTGACATTTGAAATTCAACGTAAATTAGCAACTCTTCCAACTTCTCCAAATTGAAACATAAATATTTGACTTTCTATTTTCTTTTTCAATCAATCTATATTATATGCACATTTTAGATTATATAAAAATATTAGACTCTTAAAATGGAGTGAATTTAAAACATTTCTTTATGGATTTTTTAATTTATTTGATATTCATAATTATATTTATAAAAGTTTATAAAATACATTTTTTTATATAAAAATGATCAACTATATATCGTACAAAATCGTCAAAGAAAAGAAAATTATAAAATGGTTATATTTGAATATCCATTTATGTAAAGCATAAAAACACATCAAAAGAAGTACACTTATTTTCAAGTAACAAAAAAATTTTTGTAAAAGCACAAATTCAATAATTCGTACAATCATAATAAATTCGATTATACAATATTTACTAGAATCCTAATGAAAATAAATTATCATTTATTTTTATGTTTATTTTTATATTTTTATTTATTTTAATGAAATTCGAAGATTCTGTACCGAACTTTGTCTTTATTTTAATCAATTGTATAAGTATGTTATTTAATATTCCATTTAATTTTTTATTTGCTTATAGTAAAATAAAATATAATTTTGTAGTCATTAATCTTTTACACAGAAATAAAATAAAATTTCATTATTAATAATGACATGTCAATTTAAACACATATTACAATAATGATCTTCAAATTTTTATAAAGAATATAGATTATTGGTTGAAAAATTTAAATGAATTTTATTGCAATTTTATCATAATAAAAATTATGCATTATAAAATGTTAATATAATAAATCGGATTTCTAAAATGCCATTAATAAATCCCTTATAATTTCATTTAAAATGATTCTAAATTTTATCGGATATTTCAAAATGAACAATATCCTCTTTGCAACTAAATTTAGAATGTGATCTTTATGAATTATTTTCATTTTTTATATCAAGATTTTTAAATGTATTAAAAAAGAATAAGAAATAAAAATTATGATAATTCATAGTAACGAAAATTAAAAGAACCTATTAAAACAATAGTCGAGAATTATATTAGAAGAAAATAAAATAAATAACGTTTATTTGTCTACAACATTTATATAAAACGAATTATGATTGCTGATAAAGTATTTTTCTTCAAACGAATAAAAACAACATAATATTCATGTATAATAATTAAAATTTATGCTTTATGACAATAAATATTACTAAACGTAAATGGAAGAATATAAGTATGAATTAATAGATTAAAAATTCGATGACTATCAAGCAAATACACCGTAATTGACATTGAATGAAAGTAGTGCGTAAAGACATTAAGTTCTTGATCTGGAAGGAGGCTGATAGGTAAATGTAAATATAAATATTGTACAATTGTAAGCGGCATTGGAAAAGTCAGCATCAAACGCGTTGAATTAACGACTCGAAGCTCCGGGGTGGAGCACATGAAAACCGAAGGTCGAGTCTGATGAGATAAGTCAGATTAGGGAGAAAAGATGAGATTGGTGAACAGCACGAAGAGCCCAAAAAAGGGAGACAAAAAGAAAAATAAAGAAAATAAATACTGCGGAAAATAACGATAAATACTACTCGATTCACAAATCTCGTGACGTAGATTACGGCTTTTGTATCAACCCCAATGGCTCTATCCATTAACCCAGTTATGCATCATCCATGTACCCACGCACGCACGCACGCACGCACGCACGCACGCACGTAGGCAAGTAGGCTAACCAAAGGACAACGGCAAACGTACCACTGGCCGAGTTCCGAGACGTAATATTCGATCTTGTTGCAAAGGCCGCGTCGCGCGTTCAGCCCGAGGCTCGGCCCGTGGTGATGGTGATGTTGCTGCTGGGGCGGCTGCTGATGCTGATGATGGTGACCGAAGTGAACGCCCGGGGTGGCGGACATACCCGTGACGTGCTGCATCCCAGCCGGAGGGTTGAGCTCGACTGCGCCGTGTCACTCGCCCCGCCCGTCACGGCCCCTCGGCTGATGACGGTTTCGCGACCGTCCCGCGCCATCCCCATCTTTCCACCTCAGCCTCGCGCTTTCTACGGGGCTCCGTTTTATTACTTCCCCTCGCGTCACGGGCACCCTTTGGTCTTACCCTCGTGGAATGAGAAGCAGCGGTCAGGAGCCGAGCTTACCTGCATCATAGTCATTCGTAATCGCTGCTTCTTCAAGGGAATTGCCCATCCGCGTGTCCATGGCTAAGCCCTGATTCTAAGGGCAATTTAGAACCACGGGAGCGCTACAAATAAGCCATCTACAAAATTGCGGAAGAATGTATGCGATTTCGGATGCATTGCGGAAATAATTCTATATAATATAATAATGGGCGTTAAAGTCTGCTAAATTTTCGACTGTTAGCAAAGAGTGAGAAAAACATTTATTTGCATCTGCATTTGTGCGAATATTCATGTCATTCTAATAGAGGATTCATATTAATCGATTAGATGAATACTTTACTATCTTCGTTTTATTTTCCCGAATATCTTGCTTCTATTAAAATATTATGCCTCCATTCGCAGGATTAAAAGACGTCATATTCTTTTAGGCATTTTATGTAATACACCAACTGTCTACCATTATTATTATCATTATTATTAATTTTTTAATAAATTTACATTAATTTTAGATTATGTCTATCATATATATATATATATACTTTAATCAAAATGGTTATTAAATTTTTTAAAACAAATGCTTCGTATATTTAGAATTTATATATATGCAATTTTGATTAAAAATATGTTGAATTAAAAATATTCTCTAAATTTTTCAGGAATTGACTATTAAGTTTTAATTTTCTTCTTAATGTCGTTATATACAAATTATATACAAATAAACGCCTTTCATAGCTTTGTTACACTTAACAATTAGTATATCATCAATGGACAAATAAAAATTAACCATTAATTATGATTATTATTATCATCTTTCATTATGTGTAAAGTTTAGTTTCACTCGATTCTTAATGTCTATTTTGTTTAGAACGCATATTCGTTAAAAACAATATGAAAAACAAGATATGTATAATAAATAAAATGCGGAATCATCGGGCTGTCATAGGAATATACTGTACTCAAAGCTTGACTGAAAGATCACCAAGGAAACGCAATCAGTAATTAATGAATAGGTGCAGTAGATTAAACTCTCTAAGTTATTCAACTAGTATGCAGTTTTACGAGTATGGAGTTAAATTTGATAAATTTGATTTGAAATAGAAGAAGTATCGTTTAGAATTTTGGAAGCAAAAAAACTGTACCCACCCTGGAAAAATTTAACTACCAACTATTCATATTGGATGGGTACATTGATTGCTTTAATTAATTACATTTAAACAATGAAGTGAGTAATTGATATAACTGAATTTTTTAGTTAATAACGTATAATTTAGACGTGAAAAGCTGTAAAAGGAATATTATTTTTACAAACTTATATACTATAAGTACTATTAAGATATGAAAATGCTTCGATAAGTATAATCTATAAGCTTTTGCAATAATATAATAATGGCAACATTTTTTAGAGTATAAAAAATTTGATTAAAATATTGATTCGCAAAAGGCCTCATTTTGACCGTATAATGTAAATTAACTGAAATAACGTACGTACGTGTAACGTTCTATTCGTAAAGTTTCACAGGGAGAAAATCTGAATATACAGAAAACATCAAATGTATGAGTCAATATCGATGTATGAGTAACCATCCAACATATGATAAGTTTCGATGTATTTAGCAACACTTACGGTTAAAAATGAATTACTCATGTTCAACTAGGATTTTTATTTCTTATTAAACGATACTTTAAAATTCGTAGAACGAATTTATACATATTTAAGTTAAAATTCGGCATAAGATGCCTTGGTAACTAATAATGGTAATATAATATGATAATAATGGTAATATAATAATAATGAAAATTACAATGAAAGCACATACAACGTTGTACTAATATATAAACTTTTATTTAACGGTACGCTAATTGTTAAATGATCTTCATACATTGCCATCTATTAACGAAGAAATTTTATGCTTATTAATTAATTTCCGTATTAATAAAGAATCTACTAGATGAATGAAGATAAGTCACGCACGAATTTGACTAAATTAAGAGCGAACAAAGTACTCGTGACACAAAAATGTTGTATACGCAGCAAAAAAATCAATGTATTGGATGTGATAGATAGAGGTGAGGGTATACTTCATGGATCTTGACTAATTGATTCTACGTAATATACTAAAAAGAAATTACCAATTTTATAAATAGCAGTTTTTTAAACAACATCTCTATAAGTAGTGAAACAAATTCTTTGGAATGAAATAAAATTTTTAAATTGATTGATTGGAATTGTCGATTCATAAGTAATTATTATAAATAAAATATTACTATAAAGCCGAATTTACTTGTCACATATAACCTTTAAGTAGGCTACTGTATAATTTGCAATAAATTTAGATCTCATTCAACATATCTTTTGACGCTATTCGACTTAACTATATGAAGCTCAATGTGCTTGCACCAAGGTTTTAATCACTACTTTCTCAGCTAGCAAAGTTTTAATATACTTATTTAATATGTTATTTGATCTTTATTATTATATATATATATATATATATATATATATATATATATAATTTAACGCATATAATTCAAAAGTAAAGCTGAAACAAATAGGGTTATGATAATGAATAATAGATATTGCCGTGCTGACGGTATATATTTAAGCTCCTACCAAATCAAAAATATTTACCCGAATCTGAAAAATTACACAAGATTATGTATTAATTATCTTATATCTTATATCATCAAAGCAACACGTACGTAACGTTCGTCATTTAAGATCTTAGAAAAATAAGCAATATAAAATAAAATATATAATATATAAATATATAATATCATATTAATCGAATGACGTGTACTTAAACTTATAATATTTTTTCATATATATATATATATATATATATATATATATATATATACAAGATTATGTAAATGAATTTGGATGCAACAATCGGCGAAGCAGGATTGTGGAAATGCGATATCAGTTGAAAAAAAAATCGGCCTCACGAAGGTGAAAAGTCTCTTCATTAATTCCAAAAATATAGACAACGAATGGAGTAATATTGGGAATTACATCCCCATGGAATAAGGAAAATAGAAGCTTCATACAATGAGTCAAACATGTTATCTAGATTTTTAAATTTTGCAAATAATTTATTCGTTTTTGACGCTGTGAAAGGCGAATAGTAGATCGCTACTCGAAACAGATTCCTCCTATGTATTGAGCTCGTTTTATATAAATCTAAACATAATTATTTTTTTAAAGAACCTATTTTAAAAGAAATAAGTAAAATAATATTTATTTTAAAACTAAATATCGCGTATCGCTTTTATCTTAATGAATCTCATTAAAAAGAATATACAGAATTGCTAATATAGAAAATGTTAATTATAATAAAATATTGAACATTAAATTATAATGGAATAGAAACTATTTTGTAAGTTAGAAATACAAGTAAATAAAGAATATTTTTATGCATTCTACAAATTTATAATAAAATTATTATAATTATTATAATAAATTTATATTACAAAAAATGCAACAAAAAAGGAGTTAAAAATTAAATGTTCCTTAAAAAATAATGCTTCATATAAATACTAAATTTTTGTACATCTTTCGATATAAATAATGATTAATGTATATAAAATAATATTATTAATAATAAAAATTTTACATTACAAATGTTTTACATTAAAAGTATATGGAAAATGATTATTACCAATTTAATTTCTTGATTACGTATATTTTATATAATGTAATTTCAAGAGTATAAAATTTTTAATTAGCTAAAATTCTTACTATTCAAAAGTCATTCTTTTAAGCCATATTCTCTAGTGTAATAAATTATATATAAAAATAATTGCTTAAAAAAATTTTCATTTAAACATAGGACTGAATAATTTTAAAAATCAGAATTCGTTATAAAATTTGTTAATTTAATATGTCTGTTTTCCACTGTTTCTGTAGCAGCTATACAAACTCAAGTTGCCAGTAAGATATTCAATATTAAGTTAGTATTTTAATAAATGAAAGAAATTACAGTAAATGTATTAATAATATTAATATTTAAAAAATTAACTAATTATCAATAATATAAACTTTTTAATATAAAGATTCTTTTAATATTTAGTTGTTTGTAAATTGAATAATATTATGCGAAATAACGTTAACTCAGGATGTACACTAATTATATCTATTATTTAAGAAAATTTTAATGAAGCCACATGGTAACATAAAACTTTAAGATTACAGATACGAGATAAGACGATACAATGTCTATATAATTAAATTAAACAATAATATTGTATTATATAATAAATGAAACAACTGATTGAATTATTGTTTACCATTAGAATTAGTAGTAGCATTACTGTAAGTTGAATATTAATTAAAATTAGACTAATGTATCAATGTGCTGATCAATACTCTTGTAATTAAAATGATATAATATTGGAATTAAAATAAATAATATAATAGCATTGGGATAAAGAACATTTCAATTATTTCTAAAAATGATAATATTTACATTGTACATTATTATTGAATTGATATCCATCGCATGTACAATACAGATTTTGTTTTTTGTAAAGTAAAAGGGTTGTAATTTTTTGAAAATTTATTGCTATTATATTTAAAATTAATTGATAATGAAAAAGAAATTTTTTATGTAATTTTAATGCTATATGTTTCAGCATTCATTAATGTAAATTTTTTGTTGATAATTATTAATGCAACAGAAAATATAAAATAATAGTACAAATATGTAGAAACTGAATTTGAATGGAATAAATAGTATTAGTTCGGTTAAAAAATTACTAAATTGACGAAGACTATTAATTTCGATAGTTGAAAGTTGATAAATTTATAACCATGAGTTATATTACTGTAATTCTAACATTAAATTTATGTAGTATATAAACACGTAATCAACTATTCTTTCATATAAGCTATAGAACGCGCAATAAAATACGGAGTAGAAAACTTCTTAGATCGTGTAAAAGTCGATCTTTAACTGATCAATAGTGAATCAATAAGAAAAGAAACACTCGACTGGAATCAAGATGTAAAGCAATAAATCTTTTAACTAATTAATTAATCACTTTTGATTAATTTTTAATCATTGTTTATAATAAGAAGTAAATATATTGCCAAGGAGGCTGAAACGGTATTTACAAAATTTAACATTTGTAAATGAATTCCTGGTTAGTTTGTTATGTTTGTTTGGTGACTTATTTATGTCCAATATCGATCATGCATTGAGAAGAAAAGCGAAAAATAGAAAATTTTATTCCAATATTTTATCCAATATTTATATTTAATATTATAGATTTTTATAAATTATTTCACTTAATGTCTTCCCTTACAAATTTCTTTGCTTATTTTACATATTCCTTGCACATATTAGCTCTAACAATCTGAAATCCAAAATCCAGATATAATAAGGATTACGTTCATAATGATTTCAATCTCATATTTAATTATGAGTTATTTTAATTACATTAATGTATTTTGTTTGATTTTCAAAGAATCATAGTACATCTTATGATAAGAGACTACCATCCAAAGCATTGTAAAATATCATGATAATTATTAGTATTGTGTAGTTAAACCTTATGCAGATCTCATCATTGTTAAGAAAAATTATGTTTTAACCTCTATTTTAATTTCTGTTTGCTTTATACGTATTAATTATATAAATAAAAATAGTTTGCATTACAATACTTCTTATAAATATGTATGGAAATTCATAACAAAAATATTATTAAATTATTGAGAAATATTTGTATCACAAGTTTTATATATTATTTTACAAAGAATAATATTGGTCATTCGATAATAATATAGATATACTTAATTTACGATATGAAAGATGTTACAGTAAATGTTAAAGTGTTGATAGATAATTTGTCGTTCTTTAATTTGCAAAGAGTTATTTATATATCAGCTTATACAAAATTTGTTCAAAATATTTTATAAATTATTTTAAATTAAGCTTAAATTTGAATAATCTATTCTAATATTAGTAATAAATATTTTACATTAATACGATAAGTTTATTGTTTAGAGTGACAAACCTACTTTGTTAAAAAATAAATAATGCTAAATACTTTAAGCTGTTATTAAAAATAAAGTTTTCTTTTTGTAAATATCAACGTAAGTATTAGCATATAATTTAAAAATTTAAACTTAGCAAAATCATTTATATTTGTATTATTACGTTGAGCAACATTTATTCATTATTTGATTTACACTATCAGTTTATATTGATATATTGCTTTTATTATTATGAATATTTTCTTAATGTTTGTAAAACAAAGTATTAAATTAAAAAAAAATTTACTTTTTACTTTTAGAATATATGATTCCTCCGTACTACAGTATTCTAAATAGGTAAAGCATTATCGTTATAAATATAACTTGGATAATACTTTACTGTATAATATTTCAAACAAAAATGCTTAATCAATACAAATCGTTATATATATATATATATTAGAATGTTATAATGGAAAAATGATCCATTTAACATTTATGCAGTGTTAATTTTCTTTTCATTATACTAATCACTCTATCATTTGCACAAAGTAAAAATCTTTACATATTAACGGATCTAAAATTATATACAGTATCGTCAAATAAAATAAAATGTATATAATTTATAATAGTTTAATTTCTATATTCTAATATATATATATATATATATATATATATATATATATATATATTAGAATATAGAAATTAAACTATTATAAATTATATACATTTTATTTTATTTGACGATACTGTATATGTATATATATACAATAATAAATAATACTAAATAATTCATGCTACTATTCAAAAATAAAGTTATTGATTAATAATAATCAGTGATTTACAAATGTTTAAAGATATTTTTTAGTCTAAGATTTATTATTTTGATTTTTATTATGGACAATCGAAATTTAAAAACATTTAAACTTTCTTTAAACTTAATTTACTATCATTTTAATGCAAATTTTTTCTTTTCAACATATCACACTTATAGTATTTAATAATATTTAATAATAATATCAAAAATAATTTATTAAGTATAACATTGTTTAAATACTTTATAATAATTTTAAAAGCATCTATAATATTGTAAATTTACCTACAACACTTATTACTGATTATTAATATTATTCAACAATAGCATGTATTTTCTTCTCACGGTATTAAATAATTGTAAAGTAGCATAAGATTAACAAAGATAAACTTTAAAAAATTTAAGCAACACATTTCAGTAATAAAAAGCCGCAATTGATAATAACGAGAAATAAGACCGTCAATTTTATTTATCACCGACGAATAAAAAGTACGCAACTGAGACGGAAGGCGCCTAGCAATGAAGTATACAAACGAGCTGCATATTGTCCGAATTAAATGACTAGAAGATGAGTTGTTCCTGGGCACGCGATACGCGCGGGTTGCAAATTCACGTTTATTACAAGATAATGCATGACTAGGCTGCAGAATAGTTGAAATGATCGATTCCCAGAAATAAGTGCATGCGTTCACTGACTTGCGGGAGTTATGAGCGCGCGGTCAAGAGAAAAAGAGAGAGAAAGGGACTCGATCGTTTGGCACCTGTAACGCAAGATTGTAAAAATACAAAAAAGCTAGAAGAGAAGCATGCAGTTGGCCGCTCGTTAGGCGTGACTTTTTTGTTATTTACAGGCATGTTAGTTGAAATATCGGTAAGTGCATTCCACCTTCTTTCTTCTCAAAATCTCGCAAACTTCTTTTTTTTAAGCACAAAAACTTTCGACAAAATCACTTAATAAAAACTGCTTAATAAAAAAAAAATTATATACTTTAGAGAAAGTATCATTCACAAATTTGAAAATTTATTCTTGAATATGTATAGAAAATATTAAAAAAATTACTTCTCGGCTTTCGTTGGACAATTTTATTTTATCGATAAATATGTGAAATCTTTTCTTTAACTTATTATTTTACAGAAGTTTATGACTTATAGTTTAGAAATTCAAATTAAACAGATAAACTTATAAGATTATTAATTTATAAAAGTTTTATTATAAATATATAGTGAGAGATAGAAAGTTACTATAAAAATATTATAAAATAACACGTCTACAGGGCGAGTTTGATTAATTTTAAAATTAATTTATCTTATATTGAACATTACTTTTTAAAATCGATGCTTAATTTAGAATATAAAAAAAATTATTCTTCATAAAAAATTTTAATTATTTTGCTTGTAAACAAAAATTTAATTATTAAGCTGTATGTAACAAATGTATTAAATTAATAACGCATTTAACAGAATATAAATACTTATTTCAGAATAAACATTATAGCTCATAAAATAATATTTGAATAATTTTTAGGCTTATTAAAAACGCTGTAAAAATTAAATTTGTAATTAAATATGAAAAAAGTGTTTATTTTCATATTTTGGCACGCTATTATATCAGGTATGATATATTTTTAAATCATATTTTTCTTTATTATTATGTATAATCAGGCAATTCTATAGAAAAGTATTAAAATTTTTAAAATACTTTTCATTTTCTAGCTTTTGCAGACAAAATGTTATTTGACTACACTCAGGAAGGTATAAGTTTAACATTATATTATTTACATTTAAATTTTCCATCGCATTATATTACGTAATATGATAAGGAACAATAGCAATTAGATATATTTTAAATTATTAATTTTAAACTATATAGATTTTAAAATGAAATTAATAAATCGCCAAATTTCTACATTAGCTTTTAAAGTATGAAATAATACATTTTACTGAACAAGGGAAATATTATTAATTGAGATTTATAGTAATCTTAAAAATGAAAAAAATAATTATCTTCCGATTCGTAGAATAAGATTGATTGATTTTTTAATTATCTTTATTGTAATTAAAGAAATTTATTTAACAACTATATATCATAATATAATAATTATATCTATAAATAAAATACTTATATTACATGGATATTATAACAAATTTATTTTTTAATATTTATACATTTCTTTAATTTTGAGCGGTGCCATTCATATCAAAGTTTTTTCAGATGAAATGATGCAGTTTTAGTGTCATGGCTAATAGAAATAATGTTACGCTAATAATTGAGCCTTGGAGTACTCCATTATTAATGTCAATTGAATTAGAGAACATATTATCTACTTTTACTAAATAGATTCATAATTACAAAAGTTCATAATAAAATAGAATATATTACTGGTAATTTTGTAATTTGAGGAAATTTCAAGAATTCTTATATTTTCATTGAAATACTTCCGTTGTATTTGTAAATACAGTAATTATATAATTTTTATTATTAATAGTATCGTAAACTTCAAATTTCAACATAAAAATGCTTTAATATTATATAACAGCTAATTTTTTAAAAATCTCCATAGTTAGTTGTAAAAATTTATTATAATTACAAATTTTACTTTGATCTATCTAAATATTCACATAATAAACATTCGATCCACATGCATGTATGTATATATTTGTTCATAATTGCTCGAATAAACGAATTCAGGTAAATAAAATCAAAATAAATAAATTATATAGAATCTAATCTATTTACCAAGAGCGATCTAATTATTTTTAGATAATTTATAATGTTTACTTTGTTTACAATTTGTTATGCTTTTCTACTATGTTTATAAAGTTCTATAAAAGATTCTTGTTTACAATCACGAATTAAATTTATACGAATTACAAAGCAATACTAAATATAATTGTTAAAATTACTATAATTTACAAAATGTATGATTTTACGAGAGAAATTAAAAATTTTACTCTTAAATAATTAAATTTTTTCCTTCTTATAAAAATACAAAATTCACATACACACCGAACTGTATAAAATACAATTTTGCATTAATAAAAGTATAATAAACAATTTATTATTTTCTTATTTATTTAATAAAATTTTTATTGGATAACAAAATTAATAAAATCGTGTTCATTATAATCATATAAGATTAAATTTATCTAATAATATGTTTATCGATAATATCAAGTGATTTTCAATACTTTTCATCAATTATCATAAATTTCAAATGAAATATGAAAGATAAATCAACTATATTGTAAATCTTGAAACTATTGCGAAATGCGTACTTAGGAAAATGCCGTAAGTATAATAGATATGTACGATCTTGCCGTTGTTAGAATTCAGGTAATGAGATAACTAGGGAAGTTCAATGTAACAATATCTTTATTTTCAATGGAATACATAAAAATTCTTTAACAATAGGCTCGTTAATGCATACAATAAGAAACAAAACATTAAACCCATGACTCGACTATAATTCGAGAAAACTAAACAAGCGCTGGAAAATCCAATTGTAAGCGTAAATATTTAATTAAAAATAAACAAAGATTCGAATGTTTTAAGATTATAATGAATGAAAATTGAACAAACATAGAATCTTAGGCAATTAATACGAAAGATGACGCTCGAGAGCTATTTTTTTATTAAGATATTTTCTTCCAGGTCAAAGAAAGTGGGCTAAATATTTTCCTAAATGCGGCGGATATTGGCAGTCTCCAATCATCTTAGCCGCCAGTAGATCAATAGCTCTACCACTTCCGGCCTTAGAAATGATCGGCTACCGCAATTTACTCGCTCCATTGCTCGTCTTCACTAACAACGGCCACACGGGTACATTAAAATCTGAAAATATTTCAAACAATTAAAATGATTGTGGCGATAAGTAGAATTGCAATAAATGTTATTCAATTTGGCATAATTTTTTAGTCAATTTTATTTTGTGTTATGTATAGTTTTTATAACGTTTGCGCATTCATTTAAAATAACACGAAAAAAAAATTGTAGTCGCAAAATGATTTTGAAAATTACAAACTTTCAGTGTCGTTAAAAGTTAAAAATGAATTTACAAAGGATCGAATCCCATATATATTTGGTGCAATGTTAAATAAAAATCAAGAATACGAACTCGAAAGCTTTCATTTTCATTGGGGCGTTAAAAATGGTAAAGGATCGGAGCATTTATTACATGGAATTAGGTACGAAATTTTAATTATTTATATACTACATGTGCTGTAAATCAATTTTTTGTATCTAAATATTTTAAAATATTTTTAGATATTTAAATATCTCTTTAAATTTTTTAAATATCTCTAAATATATATAAATATTTTTAGATATCCTATGGAAATGCATTTGATTCATCGTAATATGAAATATAAAGATTTAAGTACTGCACTACAGTATGAAGATGGTCTCGCCGTATTAGGAATATTTTTTCAAGTAAGTAATTATTGACATGTCAATTTTAAAACATTTTAAAAATTCTTTCACAAAATTGTAACATTGAAGCTAAAGCATTTTTATTATTTACGATACCCAGTGAAAATAACATGTAATAATTTATTGAAAATTATCTGTAAAAAATATTGTACACTATAAACATGAATGCGTGTATATATATATATATATATATATATATATATAAATCAGAAATATTATAATATTCTTGACTGAAAGTGATGTATCACAGAAGCCAAAAGTATCATTCTAACATATAAATAATAAATTAATTAATTAATAAATGAATATATCGAGTTCTTCCGTTTTATACTGTTTTTTATTAATCTAAGAAAGACCATATAAATTAAATAAATCAGCACCAACTAAGTTTAGAACATTTCCAAAATTGTACAAAAAATAGATTAATTCCAAATGTTTATTATCATTTTTATGTTTGCCGTTTATTACAATGATATACTCGTCGCATTACATAAATACGAGACATATTATCCATCGTTGCAGTAGTAAATAGAAAGCATAAGGAAATGTGGAAAGTTAAGGGGGAAGCTATTTTTGATCGACTACAAATGTAAAATTAAAATGATATTTAACATATATCATAATAATGAAACTAAGACTTAATCTCATCACACATATCGAATACATTATTATTTACGAGATATTACTACATCCTAGAATCAACTTTATAGCCTCGAGCATCAATTAAATTTGATTTAAAAAATGATTGGTACATGCTTAGAGACATGTATTTTTGAAAAATTGTTAACAAATACTTTTCAAAATGTTGGACTTGTCATAGAATAGAGAAGCCTTTTTAAAATTTGCCATTTTTAAAATTACCATCATTGATTTGGATATTATATAAAGATTGCAAATTATATGCAATATCATTGTGTAAATCAAACAATCATAGCTATTTATAATTCATCTTAGCTAATTGCAATTCATGAATTTAATTTTTCGATAATTATTAAACATAATAATACAGTTTAAAACATTTTTTTCTCCATAATACAAAAATAATTTTAACGAATTCCATTGTAGAATAGAATGTAAATATTAAAAATTTTGCACCTTACATACAATATATTCAAATAATTTAATTTTGAAAAAAACAATTTAATTATAAAATACTTACAAACTTTTATTACTACGTTCGAAGAGAGCATAAAAGAAGTTTTAATCTAGGACATAATTATATACTATAAGTAGACCAGCTATTTAAATTATCGGCAAAAAACAATCAAACAAACAAACAAACATACATACATACATTAGAGATTCGTAACAATAGAACAATTGATTAAGAAAAAACACACGGCAACAATTACATGTACAATCATCACCATTCAACTGCAGGAAAAATCTCACATCCACTCAAACATGAAAAATCTTACGACTAGTTAACTAACTTAATATTTAATAATATACCAGCTGCAAGAGGATGACAACGAGCAGCTAAAGCCACTCATAGCTCATTTACCAGCCATACAAAGCGCCAACACAGAGACACGGCTTAACACCACCATGACTCTGGCATCGCTTCTGCCTCCACAGCTGGACACGTATTACACCTACAAGGGATCGCTCACCACTCCGCCCTGTAACGAGGTTGTCACATGGATCGTTTTCACATCGATGATTCCTATCTCGTACAAACAAGTACGTCGTTTATACAATATTCGATTATTGGACTGGCGTTTCTCGACTTGCATATTCCTAATGAAATTTCATTGCAAAGAACCAAAGCGTAATATTTATTTTTGCGCACTCGCGCACGCGCGCATTAAATTTATAGCCCTGAAATAATTAAGATACGATAAATTCGTCGGTTATATGCTTTTATTGCATTATATTATCGTGTGTAAATTGCAGCGGTTTTTAAAATAACGTTGTCTTTTAAATAAAGAATTAAATTGCAACTCTATAAAGAAACAAAAAACAATAACAATAGCATACATTTGCAATAATTAAGCTGTGTAGTTGTGCAATCGTCTTCATTTTTATGTATTGAATAATTAAATTCCGTACTCCGAATTAGTTAATATTATTATACTTAAATGCTCGATCCTTATTTCTATTATCATTTTGTCTCGGCTATAAATGCGCATTTTCTACATTTATTGATTTTTAATGGTTTTGAACAATGTTTCAGATGAGTAAATTCAGAGTATTGTCAAATGGAAAAGGTATAATAGCTGATAATTACAGAAATGCACAGGTTCTTGGTAATAGAAAAGTGTACGTTCGCAGAATTCAATCAGTTCTTCGAAACAAAAATGATATGGATTATTTGGATGTATCGACTTTAAAATGGTACTGGACGTAATTTAATATTTTGTATTTGATCGATATTGTATGCTGTACAATATATCACAACTTCAATATTAAAAGACATTGATTATTAATGATTATTACCTGTATCCTCTTACATTCTAACTGTATTTTTATTCAACTAATTTATCCGACATATTTATTATCATTGATAATTTAAAACGGTCGCGGCTGTCGATGAAAATGAAAATGGATTAAGAGACTTCATATTATTATATACATTTTTTGTTCACGATTACAGATATTTAGCTACGGATTTGGTATTAAAATACTTTGAAATAATCATAGGCTAGAATAATTCTCGAAATATTTAAAATTCATATCTAGAAATAAATTTTTTTATTTTCTTTTTTCTTTAATACAAATGCGCGTTTCATTATTACAATTTTCTATCAGTACACAGTAATATATTAATAACAATATAAATCATATTAAACGTAAAAACATAACGTAAGACACAAAGAATAATGTAAGCATACTTTCCAGAATATCAACATAAATTTTCTTATAAAATTATTTTTTCCCGAGTAATTTCCCAATTAATTTTAAAAGGTAATAATGTATTTGATAACAGATATTTTACTATTGAATTAAATCTATAACTTTTTTCATTCCACATAAATATTTCATTCTAGGTGAAATCCAATTTTTTTTTTTTTTCGTAAATATCAACATTTTATGTACATGAGAATATCAATAATTTAGCTTTATACTTAAGATATAAAATATAATATATAAACTTCATAAAATTTTTAAAAACTTTTTACATTAACTTAAAAATTTATTAAACTGAAAGTAATAGTAGATACATTTTTAGCAATAAATAATATTCAAATAGTATAATTCTGTAATATTTAATGTATATATATATATATATATATATATATATATATATATATATAATAGTAGTTTATATACAAGAGTAGGTAAGTAAAAATTCTTTGTATATATAAAGGTACGTATTGTAAAAAATTATAAGTCTGTATAATATAGCATACTTTATTGTACATAAATATAATATAATGTATATAATGTATATTCTCTATTTTATTTCATAATTTATCTATTTTTTATAAATTATTTATTTTATATATTTATTTATAATATATTTTATAGTTTCTAATTCAAATTTTTTTTATTAATAAATGCTTAATAAGTATATATATATAATAAATTTGATAATATAATACAATACAGAATGTAAGTAGTCAGCAATAATAATATATAAAATGACATATTACTATATCAGAAAGTAATGTTCTTCGGATAATTTCAAATAAAAGATTTAAAATCTTCCAACTTAAAATGACATTATCACCAATATTGAATATTCAAATAGAATTTTAAAATATTGAAGGAAAAAAATTAAATTTGATAAATGACAGGTACAATTGGAAATACAGCACATAAAAATATTTGTATGATAAAATAAGATTTCTATACTCAGAAATGAAATGGATAATATAAAAATAAAAAAACATAAATTTTCATTTAAGTTAATTAAACATTATATTAGGTTAGTGATAAAAATTTTATCAATGACTATATTATAATATATATCAATGACAATATAATAAATACACTTATAAAATGAATTTTATTTATTTTATACTAATTAATAAGTAATTTAATCAATAAATAATATGCCAGTATTAATTTGCTATTCGTATCTGTATTTTCATTGTAAACTTCTTTAAATAAATTAAAATTAATAATAAAATAACTATATTAACATTTTAATTATGAAAACATTTTCAAAGTGTACAAAAGTACTGCACTATGTTCAAAACATTTTTTTGCATTTTGAAGTTTATAGAGTGATTTACATCTTTATTGAATAAATTCTTGAGTAATGTTTTATGTGAGAACTAAATTTATAATATTTAAAAATTTGCAATTGTCTGTTCAAGAAATATATACTGTGATAATAAATCTGTGATAATACTGTGATAATAATGTGATAAGAAATATATACTTAATATATACTGTGATGATTTTAATACGTATAAAATCCTGAATTACCTTACGATGTGATATTCATTTTAACCAATTGGAATGTTTTAAAACAGAACATTTTATTATTTAATTTATTTTTTAAATATTGCTCTTATAGATTTTTCTTTCATTTTTTTTAAGTTACACTATATATTATTTTATATCTTTAAAAATATAACTCATTTTATTTTTTATCTAAGGATTTATTTAAAAAATATACCTAAATGGAAAAATTGTTGAAAAAAAAAATTCATATGAATTATTTATTCTGCTATTTTTAATACAAAAATGTTTTTAATATATATATATATATATATAGAATCACTTACAATAAATAAAAAAAACATTATCAGCAGCTTGAAAATACTGATAATTTACATTTCTTTAGTTAGTGGTACAGTCTTTTAGAAAATCAAAATAGTTACAATTATTAAATAAATGTCACTAAATAATATCTTAAATTTTATCTCTAATCCAGAATTCTATTACAATTATAAAATTTAAAGTACTAATATTTTTTTATTGATTTACGAATTAAAGCTAATCTCTGTTTATGTGCTTCTGTTACAGTTGCTCGCTTATATGGACGAATTTCATCTGTGCCAAAACCAGGTATCCACATATTCCAATTTTTCTCTAAAATTAAAATTATTTTGCAATATAAACAATTTTTTGAAGTGAAATTGATTTCTAAAATTATTATATACCTAAGTGTAATTGAACATCTTTTACTTCCACTGTATTTGCATGGCGATGTTTAGCTAATAAGCAAGCAGCATTAATTGTAGTTTCTACAAAATCATCTGCCAATTGTAATAACATTTCCTCTACTTCTTCGTCAAGCTGTTCGGTAGGATCAACTTCCTTCACTAAATCTTGCAATCTTGTTTTAGTTAAAAACTAAAAATTTAAAATCATAATATAATATTTGATTTTGATTTACTTCATATTTACATACAATTTTTTTTTAATGATAAGCATTTGTAAATATTTTTATATTACATATTCCAGTAAAGATGTTTAATATGAAATATAAGAATTGAGTTCACCTGTGGATAATCTAATAATGTACTTTGAACATTAGGCTGATTCAATTGTGGCTGAGACTTTATTGTTTGAGGTGAAAACTGTGTTGGTTGAGATTGGGATTGAGATTGACTTTGCATTATCGATGAAGTTACATTCGCCTGTGGTGCAGTATTCAGAGATGCATTTTGATTTGCTGAACCAATGGATGGAAGAACTCCTAATGGCGATGTAATATCTGGACCTGTATTTGTATTCTGTGTGCTAGACATTTCTTGAGACATTTCTAAAATTAAAACATGTACTTGCAGATTACAATCATTCCATAGAATATTGACGATACTGTTAATAAAAAGTTAATTACATGTAAATTAAAAGTTCCACAATTATAGAAATTTTGTATCTACTGAGAAACTATAGTAAATAAAAACAAACTATCTATTAGCCGATCTTCGAAGAAGTAATTATAATACTCATTAATAACTCACTCTTATATCCGATAATCGATAAATTTATTCAAAATTACACTTAATTATGATTTTTGCTACATGCATAACCTCGAACCACATGTCATATCCACAAGGCAACTAAACACCAGATTATACGATTTTCAGTTTTGTTTAAGTTGTCGTATTGATAACTGCTGCGCAATACGCATGTGTAGAATATATTTTAAAAGTACATACATTTTTATCTATTTGCATTAAAATGATGTGTTTATATAATTTTTAAATAAATGTAACGTTAAATTTGAATCTTAAATTTTATTTCTCACTATGTCCAAGCTCACAATGTCCAATCACCAACTTAACACCTCAACACTACCATAACAAAAATGGCATAAATTTCACGTAACTTTTTTGCCTATCATACTTTACGTATTTATTTGAAATGCATCGGCTATTACGTTAAGAATTATATGTACTGTGTAGTTATTCATAATTTCTATATTTTCATTAATCGTTAAAATCAAACATTTTGTAACGACTTATGTAAATCTATTATCACGAATATTAGAAGCATCAATCGCATGAAGCTTAACCTCAGTTTTAAAAGTTCAAAAAACAAATGCTTCTTTTTTGCCCAACTTGTGGTAATGTTTTGCATATAGAAGAGGGCACGATTTCTTTACGTTTTGCTTGCAATACGTGTCCTTATATTTGTAACATTAATCGTAGAGTGAGTAGCCGGACTTATCCTAAACTCAAAGAAGTTGATGATGTGCTCGGTGGCTCTGCTGCATGGGAAAATGTAGATTCCACCGAAGAACGCTGTCCAAAATGCTCCCATCCGAGAGCCTATTTTATGCAAATACAAACTAGATCCGCGGATGAGCCTATGACAACTTTCTACAAATGCTGTAATTCTCAATGTAGTCATAATTGGCGTGAATAGGAAATTCTATTAACACTGAGAAAGTAAGGTAAATACAATACTAATACATTGTAATTGTGAAAATATACATTTTCTATCAATTTTCTTCATCAAAATATAGATTAAAATTTTATGTAAATAAAAGAAAATTTTTAGCACACTTATAATTTATTTTAAAGTTAAATCATTGAAATATATAATTATGTAGCTATGAATCTCCGCTTAAAGTTAAATGTAATAACTCCAAATGCGATGGGTCCAATAAAGGAACGATTGAATAAAGCCAAAAAAACTATCAAACATTTTCCAAATCAGATTCATTGGATGGGTGGAGGGTATAACAGTGCTGCAGTAGCAGCTCGCCTAATACTTGATGAAAAGATAATAGCTCTGCCGACAGATACTATTTATGGTTTAGCTGGTTTGGCGCAAAGTAATACAGCTATTCACAATCTCTACGATATCAAGAAAAGAGATTTAAATAAGCCCCTTGCTATTTGGTATATCGAATCATATATTTATTTATATTTTGTTATATCTATTTTATTTATATTTTTGATTTCCATGATAAAAAATAAAATTTATATAAAAAATTTTATTGTATTAGTCTTGGTGATGTAAAGGATATCATAACATGGGCTGAAGTGGAACATTTACCTACTGGACTAATTGAAACTTTATTACCTGGCCCAACAACTATTATATTAAAACGTAAAGAAGCTCTAAATCCTTTATTGAATGAAGGAGTAAGAAATGTTGGCATCCGTATTCCAAAGTTAAACTTTTTTCTTAGTGTAATGAAAATGGTTAATAAACCAGTAGCTCTAACAAGTGCCAATATTACCCAAGAAAATAATACGTTGCATCCAACTGAATTTGAACATTTATGGTCAAAACTTGATGGTATATTCTATGATAGGCCACAACCATCAAAATCAAAAAAAATGAATAGAGATGCATCAACGGTAGTTGATTTATCTGTACAGGGAAAATTTAATATATTTAGGCAGGGAAAAAATTGCCATAAAACTATAAATATTTTAAAGAGATTCAACTTAAGTGAGCAAAAAGAAGAAACTGAAGAAAGTGTCGAAACTAAGAAATCTGAAACATCTTAAAACCATAAAGTTTGTACAAATAAGATGAAATATTTTAACAAAGTTTAAGAAATAAATTAATTTTTGCTGAAAATCATATAAATACATAAAAAAGTACTTTTCATTTTAAGAAATGATTGTCACCAATATACCACTGACTACTAAAATTTCATAATTTAAAACCATTATTTACAATCAACGAAGGAGAAGGCTGTGGAAATACGATGTCGATTGGAAAAAGATCGTTGGTGACGAGGTGAAATGTCGCTTTATTCGGAATTTTACATGGAATAAGGAAACCAAAAAAAATAAAAGTAATTTTCACTCCCCTTTTAACGATCCATTGTATAAACAATCGACGTAAATGTTAAAATAATTGAATAAATTACACCTGCAAATTTTCACCTCATAACTCATTTTATTTCAAATTTGATTTATAAATAAAATTTATTATATTAATTTTAATTTTGAAGGCAATAACTTTTTAAAAAATTGGAACTTTAGTCGTAAAAACAATCCAATTAAAAAAAGAAAGTTATAAATGGGAGCATTTAAAAAAGAAACACAAATGAAAAATATTACAATAAAATTTAATTTCAGTACTTTGGATAGATGACATCTTTCTTTATTGGTAAATTTATTAGTGTAAAGTGCACTTACTAAAGTATTGTCTTCTTGACAAAATAATATATCACATAAAATTATTGTAAAGTATTGAAACATACATACATGTACGAACGCTTAATGTTTCTTCATACATTTTGTTTTAAAAATCTACGTATTTTAGAAAATCATTAGTTGTGTATTTTAAAATTTATATTTGTTTAATACGTGTTCTCTATACAATAAACTATTAACTAGTAAACTTCTAATTTGAATTCATATAAAGTATCCAGTCAATATGCATTAAAAATGCAGTTTTCTTAAATTTTTACATTACAAAAATCTACTGAAATTAAGATTAACAGTATAATAAAAATAATACAGTAATTTCCTTTAAAACTTTCTAAGTAATAATAACATATATATTTCTTCTCTATAATAGTTTATTTAAAATTAATTTTTAATATTTTAAATAAAAATAATATTTAAATATACAAAAAAAACAACTTTCGCAATATTAATATAATTTGTGTAAAAAAATAACAGTTACAGCTTTATATAAAAACTCGTTTAGATACAAATTTATAAAGATGTAAAATATTCAACAGAATTTAGAATAGACTGACATTTACAATTGTAATGAAGGAATTATATATTAAAAAAATATTTGACACTTAATATACATCTCATAGTCTATCTATTTTAATCTAAATACTGAGTTTACTCTTCATGAATTTTATTTTATTTTAAATAAATAATTATTATAATAAATGATTATACAATTAATAGCCGTTTTTCTAAGTATACATAAATAGAAATTTAATTAACATCTCTAATTGACTTTCCTATAAATAATAAATTCTTTCCTGCAAAATAGGTGTATTACTTTTGATTATTAACTGTTCTTTTTCTTTATAACAAATTGCAACTTACATTCATTATTTTTTATATACATTTCGAAATATAAATCCAATCGTAAAATTATATACTACTGCTAAATTTGATTTAAAAAATTGGTTGTTTTCGCATTTTAAATATAATTTAAACTTGATTATTGGTGACATTTAGCTGTTTATATACTAAGGTAATTTTAGAATTTTATAAATATTCAAATTATTTAACTATTTCAATAATGAAATGAAAAAAATTCGTTAAAATTTTTTTATAACAAAATTTCGAACACTTGAAAGTTTTTCTCTATTTGTATTTAATCACAAATAATTTCAAAATAATTCTTTAATTAAACATAATATTCAATAAAAATGATAAATTACACTAATCTATAATTATACATTTTAATAATAAAATAATTTAAATATACAACTGATTCTTATTAGATACAAATCGTTCAATATTTTTATTATTTTTACAAATAATTTTACATTATTTTATTTATTTAATAAAATTATTATTAAACGGATTTATTCAAGTATCTTATTCATCAATAATTGTATTGTAATTTACCGTAAAGTAAATTAATACAATTTTAGTAGTTATTATAACTCTATTTAAGTTTACTAATTTAAATGAAATTCAACTGCAATTAAAATTATAACTCGCAGTAGATATTGATTTATTAATAATTAAAAAATAAACCATAAAATTTGAATTGTGGATAGTATATTTTTGGTCTAGTTGAACTCAGTATCCTGAAAAAATTTAATGTATATATTATACAATTTATTTATTATTTGTTCTTAATTAATGTAAAATAATTAAAATTACCTAAAATACTTCTTATAATAATAAAAGAATTATGGCATTTTAATACAATAAAAATTATAGTAGAAATATTTTATTTTTATGAAGAAATTTTATTAAAATTTATGTGTTGATTAATGATAATTAATTATTATCGAAAGGCGTTTCATTGAAGCCTTCGCACAGTCGTTTCAAAATAAATATTGATACATCCCTAAAATTTGACTCAAACGAGGTAATTTAGACAAATCTATAAAATATAATGTGTTATATGATTATATATGCTAATTTATAATTATTAATGATAATAAAGTTACGAATAAATAATTATAGTACTTATTAAAATAATGATTTAGAAATGCCTTATAAGATTAATTTTAATTTTCTTTAACTTTTTTGAAGCATTAAAAGACATCGTTTCCGATAAAAAAAAAATTAAACGCTCTTGATAAATTAATTTGTTTGGTGAAAATTAATATTTATATTTTAAATACTTATATCACTTTCAAATTTATAAATGTACGAAATACGTTTAACCACCTTATTTAATTGAAAAATAAATAAAAGGGAAAAACTGACATATCATCGTATATTTAATTTTGTTATAATTTAAAATAATTATATACTTTATTGGAATTTAATATTTTCATTTACTTATTTACTAGGTATATACTAAATGAAAATACACTTGCATTTTATGTGTATGTACATATATATATATAAATATAAATATATAGTACATATCACGAAAATAACCTTTTTAAAAATTTTTATTATCATTAAATCATATAGGGTAATTCAGCAAATTTTTTAATTCCTTTAACTCGTGTATGTATAGATGTATGCATTTACACATGAACACACATGCATACACAGAGGCAGACACACACACACACACACACAAATGCACAGAAACACAAAAACTTAGAATATACAAGTAAATTCTCGTTTAATATAGACTAGTAATTAAATGAAAATATAAAATTTTAATAAAATATATATGTGTCTGTGTAGATGGGCGCGCGTGCGAGATATAATACAGCCTAGATCTACTCGTGCTATTAACTATTTTATGTTTTTGCAAGGATTTATTTTTGATATATTTCAATAAAATTAAGCAAAACTGATAGATAACGAGATGTATCCAAGGTATGAATTATGGGTAAAATTTATTTATAAAATATTAACTTACATATAATTTATATAAAAAAGGCATAAATTTCTACTATACTCCAAAATTTTAAAGGAAGTGAAATCAAATTTATTATAATTAAAAAACTTATATGTATATATAATTAATTTGTATTACATACGTATATAAGTAATTGAGTAAAAATAATTTTATTGTTTGATAATATATTACGGTTAGATAAAAAGATAATAACATTTAATTTAAACATGTACTAATCCATGTACTAAAAATTTATTTTAGGCATATCAGGAGAATAAATAATAATTTTTCTAATTTTCTTGTCATTAAATAACGCGGGCTAATTTAGAAAATTTCATTTTCAACATTCCTCTAACTTGTGTATACATACAGGTATATATTTACATATATTAATTATTGGATAGGGAGAGCCTTTATAATATTTGTCAACATCAGTATGGTTAAAATGGTCGACGCTACAATCCCAGACATTACCAAGCAAACTTCCTAAAGTCAATGTAAAAACGAAATTATCGTGAAACGTATAGTTAATGATATTTGTCGCATCATTCTAATTTTCAAACTCAATCGTGCTCACTACTCAATCTCAGCACTTCATACAAAAAACGAGATGAGAAAAAATAACAACAACAACAATACGGGCGTTCGTACATATACACGAGTAACAATCAGTCTAGTCATCCTTAGATATTAAATTCGCGGCTGCAGCGCTCCATCTTGTGTTCCTCCTAAAGATCCCAAGGACACTACTACTTAGTCTCGCGTAGATCTCCTTGCGCACGGTGGCTGTGACTTTGGTGGCGAGGCAGCCGATCGTGGCCGCGGCGAAGATTAGATTGTAGAGGAACACAAGCTTAAAGTTGCCGAGCCACTCGATACGGCCGAAGTCACCGAGCAGGTCAAAATTTGTCATACCTGTAAGTAATTTTTTCATTGTCAAACTTGATTGCCACAATATAACGTAAAAACGAGGTAAAAAGCATCTTCTTCCTATTGCGCTTGAAAATTCAGCTTGCATTTTATAAAAATTGTTGCGATTCAAAATAACATTCACCATGCGATGGAAATGGACTTCTGAAATCGGTTATAATTACCAGATTGTAGGCACAGCAGATGTGAAAACGGAAATGCAACAAGGGTACGGAAGAGGTGAAGGTAATATGTATAAGAGGTACCTAGGATGCGCGAGAGAAGCGGTAGTGCCGAGCTGAGTACGAGCAGCAGAGCACAATTGGCGATGATATGGGTGAATGGAGTGGAATGAAGACGTGGACGGACCCTTTTGACGCCCGGCAGCGTATAAAGTCCGACGGCGCTCGTCACCGCCAAGTAGAGAATCACAGCCACCTCGATCGCTGCCCCGATTGGACCGAGTTTCGACAACGAACTGATGCCCAGTGTAAATTGCTGTAACATAAGACGAACATGTATTTTATGATGATTTATCGTCATTATTACTAAAAATACTATTTGGAGCGTTAACCAGCTTTTTTCCATCACTTATCAATTTAGATATACAAAATTACGCGAATTACTCGATGTCCAATCAGCAGAATACAAAAAAGGGGGATTAATATATATATATATATATATATTGATATAAAGGAATTTATATATATATTTATATATATATATATATATATATATATTAATTCCTTTATATAAAAATAATACTTCCCTTAAAGGTGCTAATACTTAAATTTTAAATAACTATTTATCATTTCGCATTTCGAGAAAACTATAGACATTACTTATTATCCCCTTAAAATAAACACGTAATCTCTTTTAATATTCAACATTTAATATTAATGATTTAGAGACAGTTTCTAAGATATTTTTAGATTTAAATATAAATAAATTAGAATATTTTCGTGCCTATAAGTAAATCTAATAAAAATACGTATATACATAGTAACGAACAATAAGCATTAAATGAACAATTAGCAATAAACGAACGACTAAACGTTAACTTTAATAACAATTTTAATATCAATAATGAATTTAATGATTTGACGTTGTAAATCATTTTATCGTAAAATGATAATGAGACATAATTTAGCTCAAACCAAATTTTGCATAAATTAAAATATGTTGTATCTCAAATCCTAAATCATAAAATTAAATAAAAAACTGAATCATTTGCATATTTGCCTAATATGGTAATTCATTTTATTAACCATCTGCAATAGCAAGCTAACAATGTCTCGACAAAAGCGTAATAATCGCTAGATATATAGGTGATGACTATTTATTAGTTACGTTACTTGATGTATGGAAAATTAGTGAACCTTTTCTTTGCCACATAAAGCGACGTTCTTACACGTTAGTATTTTAAAGCTTTACGCGTTAGTCCAACTATACGATCAATTGCGAATAAAGCATCGAATAGGGCCCCGAGTCTGTTGGCTTACTCGCGTGCTGAGCGGCAGGGCCTTAATGCCGACGAGCAACTGTAACGTATTCTGTACGGCAAGGAGAGCCGTGGCAGTAGAGAGGACGAGGAGGGCGAGCATCGCCGTTGGATAAAGGAGCGTCCTGCGCACCCACCAGGTGCGCCGCTGCTCGTCAAGGATGTGTCGCCGCCTCTGAATGTCCTCGAGCCGTTGGGCGAGTCCGCGCTGCAAGGCTCCATTACGCAAACACATGAGGCCTGGATTCGGGCAGAGGGACTCCTCGTCATCGTCGTCGGGTGCAATGTTGCTGCAGCTCGAAGGTGACATCGGCACCGGTGACACGTACGACTTGCCCGTAGCTTTGGCATGTTCCAATCTATTCAAAGATTTTTCTTTTTTTTATCATTACTTTTCTTAGACATAATGTTATAAGGATATTCTCTTCCACCGCTTGATCTTAATATCGTTACATGGCTAACCTCGTGCCTCTATCTATGATTTTATACAATTTTTCTTAAGAACTTCATTTTATTCCCGTATTTTTAAGTACAGAATTTGCTAACAAAGTTTCTAATAAACTTGTGCTATTTTACAATACATACGAAATTAGATAGCTTACGATCCTAATTATTTATTAACAGAATTATTTGTTATCGTTAGTTTTAATAAAGCAGTGTTTTAACGGGTAAATAATTACTATTCATATAGTCTTTCTCAGAATAATATTAATGGTTCCGTACTTGTAAAATATACCCGATAGCGCAGAAAATTATTGTTAGACATGATATAGTATTAATAACAGAATTATTTTTACAGATTATATAATACGATAGAATATTATTCGGTATTAATCTATTATGTAGATTTTTATAAAAGAAACGTAAATACAATGAGTTAATTAATTCTCGTCCATGAAAAATTTAAATGTTTACTATTAAAAAATAATAACAGTAATAATAGTAATAAGAATAATAATGTAAAATAATAATAAAAATAGTAATAATAGTAATAACAATATTATTTGAACGGACTTACTTTGACAATATATGGCAAATACTATCGTTTGGATGCCTAAGAATGTTAATTATATAGGTATAAAGCAAATTCTGCGTATCAAAAGAGTTTCAAGTTACTTAAGCACATTCTTAATGAGACTAAATTAAAAGAAAAATGTAACTTACCTTCGCTTGATACATTCCTCTTCTAATCTATATGCGAAAAATTCCTCGTCCAAATTTTTCAGAAACTGAGGTTTTACAAGGAATGATCCGACTACACCAAAGAGTCTAACAAATCCTACTGGTGTACAAACTAGAACATTATGAAAATAAATCATCATATTGACCTATTTTTTAAGGAATAGTTATTGATATGCATTCTAATGATATATTATATACTTAGATGAAATACGTTTGTTCTATTAATTATTACAATCGTAATAAACTATTTGTAGTTTAAAGAATACTTACGTAGAAGCAAAACAACGCCAACGAAAGACACACAGGAATATAAAAAAGGTAAATAATAACTCCATAAATCTAAAATTTCAAAAATACACACGATTATTAATTTCATAATAAAACCAATACATACAATTAAAAAGAATGTTGTAATATGAATGCAATAAATAATAAAAATGTAATAGTCAATTAAATTTCAAGTATATTAAAACAATTCTTTAGCAATATTAAAAGTCAAGCTAAACAAAGTTTTATAAAATAAATGATGAAATTTATGTTAATGCTTAATGCTTACTGAGTAGTGTATGAAGACTCGATTTTTGACGATCCAGAATTGCTGATAATATATATGTCATACCTAAAACCATCACACCTAATAAGCATAATACTGTAACGGTTTCGTAGACTCTGGCCATGATACCCTTGAAGATAAAAATATGGTGATTTAGAAAAATAATTGACAAATAAAAAATTATTAGTGTATACAATAAAAACTTACATATATTCATATAAATTGAGGACTTTCAATATACGTGTGAAGCAACGTTAATGAAATTATTATAGAACATTTTAAGAGGAAAAATATACATGAAGATTTTAGTTTTTTCTAATGAATAAATATAATACTTATAATAAAAGGAATAACTTTCATAAATAAAAGTTTTTAATTAAAATTTCAGATAATGAATATTTTATGTTGAAATATATATTGATAGTAAAACTAAATCAATGAAAGCATTTTAATAATATAAGTGGAATTATTGAAAGGTAATTGCTTTTTAATAAAAGATGATTTGAAATAAAAGTTTTGGAAAAAATTTATTACTTTACTTAAAAAATATATAAATTGTATAAATAAATATATACTTAAAAGATATAATAAAAAATAAATTTACACGAGTACGAAATAAAATTTATAATTAGAAATTACGAATGTAGTGGAAATGTAGTGAATGAAGTGAAAATAAATAGCAACAAATGAAATAAAGTCTATAATGCATAAAAGGTAAATTAAAGATACAAATTAATTTTTAAAAATTCTTAGAAGATTTTATAATCTGTACGAAATACAATTGTCAATTAGGTTATAATGAACGATGGTAGAAAAATAGAAGGACAAAAACCATTAATTTAAAAACTTAACATATTCAAAAATTATTTTTATGTCTAGTCGTATAGAAGTTACTAAATATATCATTTAAATGTTTCCTTTAAGTTATAATAATATTATAATACATTATTTTACTTACTTTCCTATGACCAACGAAACCCTCAGATTCGGTGAAAAGATATGCGAATGGCAAAAATACGAATAACGAAAGATTTGAAAAAAGAAATATGAGATTCCATAATCCTGAAAGTTCAAAGATTTATTCATATAAATTTTATCATTTATCTCAGCTGAAGAATATTCTGACAATTTTCATAGCATATAATATTACATATAAATTAGACTTAATTACATTTAATGAAAGATAAAAATTAAAAAAACTTATACAATACGTTCAAATATAAACATATATCAATCTTAACTCAAATTAATCGATATGTACAATAATGAAGTAAATACACATTGGAATATACTAATTTTTTCATTAATATTGTATATTTCCAGCAGCAATCTTAGGTTGACATCAACATTAACAATATTTAAATTATTAAAAAATAATTAACAAATGAAGGCTTCTGAAAAACATTTTCAAAAAACACTTCGTACATTAAATTTAAGCTGTAAAAAAATTAACTTAAAAAATATGAATATTGAATTGAATTCCAACCGTAAGTAAGAATGGCACGATAAAATAAGGAATTGAAAACGTAAATCTCAGAGTCATAAGTATTTTCTGTCCGCCTAAGGAGTCCAAGTGAAGAGGATGAATTTAATAATTGGTTACCTTGTATGAGAGAGCTGTTGAGCCATTTTACGTAAAAGCTGTTGGGATAGAGGATGAGGACTTCATTACTGGCGATGGAGACCGGGAGCAGGAGAGCCGCACCAATTGACACGGCCAGGCCGACGGCACACAGCCAGAGGCTGATCCTATAGACGGTCGCCTCATCTTCGTCGGTTGTTAGGTAGTCCTCGCCGCCCCTCCAGCGGAAGCGCGCGATAAGCGCGTAACTTGATATGTACAGAATGAGGAAGAGAAGTAGGAAGATCTGTAAAAATAATTGTCAGCTGTGGTAAGACGTCGTCATAGTTCTAATTGAAATGCTACTTATGGGTTCATTTGATTTCGGGCCTTGAAGTTATAATTGAATTTTTCGTAAGCTGAACATTAATTTATCTTATACATTAAGGTTATATTATATTATATTAAAATATAATAACAATTTCAAAGCAAATTATTCGACAAAGAACAGTTAGTTAAGAGTAAAAAGCTACTTGTAATGTGACACTTGTATGCAATTCTCTAGAGGAATTCTAAAAATAGCTGAGCAACGTCTTAACACAAAATTAAAAAAATCGAATCCAGTTATTTTCGTTTCACTTTCCGAATAAAAATTACATAAATGTAAAATTCAATTAAATACCAGATTAAATTACGTACATATTTACGATCTTCTATGATAAATAAACATGATCATAAATATTAAAAAAAGACTTAAAAAATATTTTAACATAATTCTTTTTGCATTAAGTGTTTGCACACTCGACCGATTATGCACATTTAAAAGTTTGGACTTATATCCTACATTTTTTAAAATAATAATTCAATTTCTAATTATATAATAATATAATACTATTTAAAAACAGAATAATAATCTAATGTTAGTAAGTTAAAAACATAAAAATGAGTAACAAATAATTTAAGCATTAAAATAAGAATATGAAAATTATGTATTTTTATTGCGTACAATAGATTCATTGTAATAGATTATTATTTTTGATATATTTTAGTAACCTTTAAGAATTATTTTAATAGTATTATGAATAATAAACCATATTTGATTATTAAGATTTACAAAATTTATAAAACAACTTAACAAATTAATTCTGACGTTATTTTAGCAATTTATATTTCTTTTCGACTTCATATTTTTAAAAAGTAATAAGAAAAACAATTTTTATTTTAATTTTATATATTTAATACATTCTACATTAGAATAAATAAATCTGAATAAATTTAAACTTTTTTAATCCAATCAAACTTATTTTATAAAATTAATAATTCATTAAAATAAAGAAAATCAGCAAATAAGTTTAAAAGAAAATTTTAATTTCGGATCGATCAGAGTGGTAAAAGTATCTATTAAATATAAAAAACCGTATCTATTAAATAATTACAAATCTAGTAAAGTAAAATAAATTATCTCGTTATATATTCCAATTTTGGTTGGTTGGATAACTTTTAGTAATTCTCATACATGCATTATATTCCAATTGCGTTATAGATGTAATATAAGTAATAATTAAGACATTTGTATTTTATGTTTCTTCCAATTTAAACACTAAATAAATGAACATGATAAATTTATACCTGATTTATTTATAATCTAAATTTTTATAAAATGCTTTCCAATATATAAAAAAATATCAAATTTGCAAAATTTTCATCTGCATTAAATTATAAATCTTTTGCATGTAAAATTTTTGTGTGAATAAGTGATAAGTTACTAACTAAGATGTATGAAATAGTTTAATTTTGTTTTTAATAACTGATCTTTTATATTTTTATTATTTTCACCAAAGTGTATGAATTTATTATATTTGCATATTATATATTATATATAAAATTTAATTTAATTTTTAATATTTGCAAATATAATAATTCTAATTTGTGATCTTATATATATTAAAAATATACTAAAATTTTTTTATAAACTATTTCAAGTAATAATTCTAGCTTTGCATATTTTGCTATTACTATTGCCTTAATATCATCATTATTAACTTATGAATATCATTTGATAATATTTATTGTATTACTTTTAATAGAAATTAGAAATTTAATTATCAGAATTCATACCTTAAAAATTTAATTTAAAATGTTTTTCAAATCAAATGACTATAAGCGTAAAATGAAAATATGGCAGTATTTATCAAATCCTGTTGTTCTTGATAGTATTGATTTGCGCTAGATTCAACTAACCCCAACATGTAGTTATATCTTTAACTCGGCTCGTAAAATATTGTTTCTGATTGGCATAGGTATATAACAGTATATAAAGTAAAACTAGGTACTACGTATCAACATGTATGACATTAAATGAGAAAATTAAAGAATCGCATAACACATATTTTATAAAGAAAGAGATACCAGAATAATAAAGATAGAAAATTACGAGCGATATTATACAATCTGGAAAATCTCTGTAGGGAATGTCGATATTTCAATATTATATTATAAAGTATTATGGATATTGAAAGCGATAAAAAAAATTTCAATATTAAATATTTGAATGAAAAACTTATGAAATTGATCAATTTGTTATAAATGCATATGTTTAATATACGTATACATAAAGTGATATAGCATTGCCCATTATATAAATATAATGGTATATTATTAATAATATAATAATATATATAATTTTAAAAAACTATATTTTTATATTTGTAAGCAGGTTTCAAATTTTATTAATTACATTAATTGTAACAATTCACTTTATAATAAAAGCAGTTATTTTGAGGTAATTTTTAATAATTAATATAAACTTTATCCTGATATTTAATATCCAACTGTAATGTGTTAAATATGTATTTTCACACATTAAATAATACATATCCGTTAATTAAAACCGTTTTTTATTGCTTTTTACAAAATACAAAAGATTATATTTATATTCTTCCTGTTTACAAATAAATCTTTCAAAATACATTAAATTGTTTATTTCGAAAGATCAAATGTTACGAAATTTGATACATGTCATACTATATATTTTATTTAACATTTGACTTGTAAACACTTCCGTAATTAAAAAATCTAATTTATTATTATTAAAGTCTTGATTTACCGATGAAAGCTCAAATAAAAATATAATTATATTAAATATTAAATAATATTGAAATTTTAAATTATTCTTGATAATATTAAAAATCTTTTTTTGACATCTGTTATTTCCATAAAATTTTTATTATAATTTTTTAAATAATTTTTATCTAATCTTTCATCAATGTACAGAACACAAGTCAAAATGACCTTTTTCTTCTAAGAAACTGAATATATTATTTATTATTATATTTATATAATAAAAAGGTAATTTTAATAAATTCCATTATTATAGTTTTATTATAATATGCACATAACTTTTTATTAGAAAATACTAAAATTTAATCAAAATTATAAATAAGACTTTATTTTCGTTTTTGTTTACTAATAAGTTATTAAAACTTAATGCAAAACTTATTAAAAAATATAAAAAATTAATTATCACCGTATCGAAATATAATACTTTTTAAAATATTTAATAAATCGACTCATATAATCAATTTACAAAAAAATATATTAGTTCTCTATACAAAAAGACAACATTTTAACTTTTTATTATGGATTAAAATGAAAAATAATAATTATAATAATACAAGTAAAGATTGTTAACATAAAGAATGCAATATATTAATTCATTTTAATTGACTTCATATTTAATGATTATGTAATCTTTTTCTAGTTATCCAGATATATTACATGGCAAATATATTTATTAATAACTCAATTTATACATAATAACGCCAAAGTTAATGATTCTGAAAATAATTAAAATTATGTATTCAAAGAAACAGATAAATTAAAATAAAAATTATTGTAAAAAAAATATTGTATGTTAGAAAATATTGTTTCCAAGTGGAAAAATACATTAGTTTCATTATACATAGCCAATACATTAGCTGAAATTGCAATAAAATTATCATATTGTCGAAGTACGGTAAAATTACAGACTGTGGGAAGGTTATTTTTATTTAAATTTTTTTTAAAAGCATACAGTTTATGTTACTTCGTTAAAAATATATTACATTTTTTTAAGAATACATGCATGTTCTTATATATTTAAAAAATATATACAATTCCTATAAAAAAAGTTTTAAATTAAAATATTATAGCGTCCAGTAATTACGCTTTACTATTAAATATATTAATATCAGTATTATGAATTTAAGTTGAGAGTTATATTCTAAATCCCAACTCTCTATGTAGTGGATTTAATATTAATCTGAAATGATAACTCAATACATGAAAACTTATAATTATCAGTCATGGTAATCTTTAACATTTTTCATTTAATTCAGAATCAATTAAGATAGAACACAATTTCATATTGGATATAATATTGATAATATATGAAAATAAAAATAGTTAATTATAAAATATATAAATATTTTTGCAGAAAATCCCATTAACTAAATATATTAATATCTATTCAAATTATATTTCATTATTTTTCTAATTTATTTAAGTATTATAACATTATGATAATTATAAAACAGAAATATGTTGAAATAAAACATATATTTTTCATATTAAATGTTTCGACCTTTAAGGATATTGTATTAAAATTCTGTAAATCTTAGATGAATAGAAGATAAAAGTTCATTTATTTAACTTAATTTCAGATACTCTGCCTTATTGTATAGATATTTGTTTAAATGTTTAGTTTTTAAATTAAGATAGATATATTCTTAAACGTAAATTATAAAAAAAAATTTTATTCTTAATATTTTTAAGTTTTTAAATATTTGAATATATAGTAGTTATTTATGGATATAAGAATATATAGAAAATTAAAAAAATTAACCGATGATTGTAATCCTTAAATATAAATAAAATGTTTTTTATCATGAAAGTATTAATAAAGAATAAGATTAAAAAGAATTTTCAATATTTTATCGATTGTTATTCTTTCACAAAAATTGCCTTAAATACCTTTAAAATTGTTCATTATAATCGGACATAAATTCCTTCAAATTTTCTACATAATAATCATAGCACTCAAGATACCATAATATAATAAAGAATTATTATTTTTTTATTTTTCCTCGTAATTCTTAATCTTTAATCCGAAAGATTACAATTTTAATATTAGTAACAATATATATACATACGTATATTCTGAAGGTGATGCTTGGAATAAATTTCAAATATGGTAAATATCTAATAGTATAATATTTAACTCATGGATTACTTTTTTGGAAGCTTGAAAAAATGAAAGCAATCCATTTG